AAACTGTGTTACCCTGTATAGGTCACACAACCTATTTACACTAATTTTCTTATCTATTAGATGAGAATAACAAGCTACTTTATAGTACATAGTATCATGAAGATTACTTATATAATGCTTACAGTAAATACTTATATAATGTTTATCTTGAGGTAAGAACTGTTTTAAGTATACAAAAACTATATGAAGTAGATACTGCTATTATTCCCAGTTTTGAAATGAGAGAAATGAAGGACAGAGGGGTTTGAGTATAGCTAGTAAGAGGGTTTAAATATAGCTAGGAAGGTGACCTTAACCTTAGGCAACCTTGCTCCAGAGTTAGTGATCAAAGTGTGATCCTTAGGATCCTTGAAGGGGGTTCATGGAGGTCAAAACGATTTTTCATATTAATATAAAGGTAGTATTTGCCATCTTCACTGTCATTCTGTCATAAATATACAGTGAAGTTTTTCTGCAACAGATTGAATGCAGGAGCAATTATGAGGCCTGGCATGGTGGCTCATGTCTATAATCTCAGCACTTTAGGAGGCTGAGGTGGGTGGATCACTTGAGGTCAGGAGTTTGAGACCAACCTGGCCAACATGGTAAAACCCCGTCTCTACTAAAAATACAAAAATTAGCCAGATATGGTGGCACATGCCTGTGATCCCAGCTACTCAGAGGCTGAGGCAGGAGAATTGCTTGAAACCCAGGAGTTGGAGGAGGTTGCAGTGGGCTGAGATCATATCACTGTACTCTAGTCTGGGTAACAAAGCTCTGTCTCAAAAAAAAAAAAAAGAGAGAGAGAGAGAACCAATTATGAGATTTGCAAACAAAACAAAAAACCAACGCTGTTCTTACTAAATTTTTTTTGTTTTAGAAGAATATAATTTTCACTTTAAAATGTTAACATGTAATAGGCTTATTTTCAAATGAATTAATAAATGAACTTTTTTAATGAAAGAAATTCTGAGACCAAAAAAAGCTGAGAACTGCTGCTATATACCACTAAATTCTGCTGCCTGTTATTAAATCAGATAAAACATAGGAAACATCTGGTGCCATGTTTATACTTGATAGGTTCACACTTAATAGGTTCTCATCACTTTTAAGACACTTTTTTTTTTTCACATTTTGATATTTTTGGAAATCAAGATGTGACTTGTCGGAAGAAACTTTTCAGTGATCAGCCAGGTAAATTGTGAAGTAGTAGTAGTCATCTATACTTGGTATATCTAGAATTTAGCTTTATGTATTGTTTTATTCAGTTATTTCAGTTGATACTAGTAGCACCACATGGGGTTGAAATATTAATTGGATTTGTATCCCTATTTGTTGCTTAATGTGTCTATAATATATCACCATATGATACAGCTTTGAAATGAATATTGTTTCAGTAGAAGATTGCCTGACATATGTCAGTTAATTCAAAGACAACAAAATTGCCAAATCGCTCAGTCTCTAATATCAAACCTGGGCAAGGTTGGTGTCACTAATTCATGCATCTGGGACAACATCTACTTGTCAAAAATTTCGATGATATTTGAAGAAGGCATTAATTTCTATTTAGTACTTAGTTTTCCGAGTTAAATTATCAAGTTTAACCAAGTAGAAAACAGAAATCTAAGATTTTGTTATGGCCAGAAATAACACTGTGAGTGCTAAAGGTGCTCAAAATCGACAGATGATTGAATGCCTGCTATATGCCTGCACTTGGGATATAATGCCTGTCCCTGTAAAATACAGATTCTAGTAGAAAAGACAGACAATAAGTAAAAAATAGATGATAATTACAGATTATGCTAAATGCTGTGAAGAAAATTGGCAGAGTGATGAGGTTGGAGGAAGGAGGAACGTTGGGGTAGCTGATTTAAAGTATATAAGGAAAGCTTCTTTGAGGAGGTGATGTATGAACTGAGTCTAATCCAGCCATATACAGAGCTGGGAAAGAATGCCAGGTGGCAGGTACAAAGACCAAAGGTGGCCAGAAACATAAAGGGTAATTTTTTAAAAGTGGCATGTGATTATATGAAGGACCTTATGCACTTGTCTTTTCATTAAGCTTTTTTTTCTTTTTCACAGAAGATTATTTCATATTTTCTCCTTAAAGTACTTCATAAATACTGTCTTTTTTTTTTTTTGAGGGAAAAAGAGAAGAAGGGGAAAAAAAGAAAAAGAGGGAAAAAGGAATATTACTTCATTCATAAAATGGGTTTCAATAATGGCCGATCAATATTTTGAGTGTTTAAAGTGATTAATGCATATTTTATGTGTTTAAAATGGAGACCTCTATTGTGTTTATTTGTTCTGGCTCTGAGTTCAAGTAAATACTGTCTTAAAACTAGTAGTTTTATAGAGTTGGGAAACTATGATGTGTTATGATTATAATTATTAATAGCACTATATTTCTCTATTTAAAGGTATTTCATTTTTAGTCATTTTTTTAAATGGTCTGGGTGGAAACTATAGAGATTTAATGTGCCAAATTTGTGATTATAGGAGAGCTCAAATAGGAATTTAAAATAGTAATTTAGCATGGAGATGATACTTTTTTTTTTTTTTTTGGACGGAGTCTTGCTCTGTTTCCCAGACTGGAGTGCAGTGGCATGATCTCAACTCACCACAACCTCCACCCCCTGGGTTCAAATGATTCTCTTGCCTCAACCTCCTGAGTGGCTGGGACTACAAGCATGCACCACCATGTCTGGCTAATTTTTGTATTTTTAGTAGAGACGGGGTTTCACTATGTTGGCCAGGCTGATCTCAAACTCCTGACCTCAGGTGATCCACCTGCCTTGGCCTCCCAAAGTGCTGGGATTACAGGCATGAGCCACTGTGCCCATCCCACTCAGCAAATTTTTTAAAATTTCTTTGTAGAGATGGGAGTCTCGTGCTGTGTTTCCCAGGCTGGTCTCAAATTCCTGGCCTCAAGTGATCCTCTCACCTCAGCCTTCCAAAGTGCTAGGACTACAGGTGTGAGCCACCTTTAAACTTCCTATACCATTGGATCATGCCTGCCTCTTCATCCCCAACTCCTGCCCTTTGTGCTCTGTACTCCAGACCACTTGGATCTTCTTTTAGGTTCTATAACTTCCTGTGCTTTTTCTTGCCATAGGACCTATTATATAAGTGGTTCCCTCTTCTGGAAGGTTCTCTTTCTGTTCCCCTTAACTCTGTGGATCCTTGATATATACAACTTAAGCAGTACCTCAAAGAAACCTCTTTCGATTCTGTAGTCAATATTTGGCTCATTTGTTTTGTGCTTTTGCCTGTCTTTCTTTCTTACCCTTCATCTCTGCAAAAATATGTTTGGTTTCCTCCACTAGGTAAGTGGTTCATTAAAGTGAATTTACATCTGGATTTGTTTATTATTATATTTCCGGATCCTAGCATAATGGCTGCTATATAGATGATGTTTAAGAAATATTTATGGGCCGGGCACGGTGGCTCACGCCTGTAATCCCAGCACTTTCGGAGGCCAAGGCGGGTGGATCACGAGGTCAAGAGATCGAGACCATCCTGGTCAACGTGGTGAAACCCCGTCTCTACTAAAAATACAAAAATTATCTGGGCATGGTGGCGCGTGCCTATAATCCCAGCTACTCAGGAGGCTGAGGCAGGAGAATTGCCTGAACCTAGGAGGCGGAGGTTGCGGTGAGCCAAGATCGTGCCATTGCACTCCAGCCTGGGTACCAAGAGTAACTCCATCTCAAAAAAAAAGAAGAAAAGAAAAGAAATATTTATGGAATTAATCAATTTCTTACTGAATCCCTCTTTAGCTTTTTGGCAGCTGCCTACTTGGGCACTGAGAAACTTCCAGGGGTGACTACCTTAGTATTTAAATGGAATTACAGTTTACATCCACTGTACAGCTTACTTTTTTTACTTGGGCATTTTTCCATTTTATTTATTTGTTTATTTATTTAGTGACAGAGTCTTACTCTCTTGCCTAGGGTAAAGTGAAGTGGTGTGAACACAGCTCACTGCAGCCTTGACCTTCTAGGCGCAAGGGATCCCCCTGCCTCAGCCTCCTGAGTAGCTGAGACTATAGGTACACACCACTATACCCAGCTAATTTTTAAATTTTTTTTATAGAGGTGGGATCTCACCATGTTGCCCAGCGTGGTCTGGAACCCCTGGGCTCTGTCCTTCCCCCTCATCCTTCCAGAGTTCTGGGATTACAGTCATGAGCCACTGTGCCTAGCTGTTTTTCCGTTTTAGAAAATTTATGGATCTATTTTCTTCAGGGGCCTTATTTTGTATAGTCCATATGTGTTTATAATCATTTTGCTGAATATGTAACCCTTGCTTTCTAGTTTGTCTAGCTTTGTCATTTATAATCTCTCTTGGTTTGTTTTATGATGTGTAGCTTATTCTGGTTATGTATTTGGTAAGAGTGTAGACTGTCTGGATAATGTGCAACTTGCTTTTACTTAGGATACATGTCTTTGCCACTTTGAAGTGTAATTTGCTTGGGAAAATATGAAAACATTAGGATAATAGATTTCAAATGTATCATTAAACATAAAACTTACTTTGATTTTATTTTGTTTTATTTTTGAGCCAGGGTCTGGCTCTGTTGCCCAGACTGGAATGCAGTGGCACAGTCGTAGCTCACTGCGACCTCTATCTCCTGTGCTCAAGCTATCCTCCAACCTTATCCTACCAAGTAGCTAGAACTGCATGTGCATGCCACCACACCTGGCTAATTTTCTTGATTTTTAGTAGAGACAAGGTCTCACTATGTTGCCAGGTTTGTCTTGAACTCCTGAGCTCAAGTGATTCTCCTACCTCAGCTTCCCGAAGTATTGAGATTTGTTAAGTTCATGGTGGTGAGCCACCATGCTGAGCTAGAACTTACTTCTGAAAAATTTTCTTTTAATTGTGCTCCAAACTAAAACAAGCCTCCTTATCTAAAATGTATACTAGATTAATTTCTCTTGGTGAAAGGCACATAACATTTATTTCTAGTTGTTTCTGTAAGTACTGCTATCCTCAGCTTCAATGCTTTTTTCTTTTAGAGATAAAAGAGGAGTAGAAGGTAAAAGAAAATGCTGGGATCTGACCGTTGTGTTGTGGAAGAATGGTTATCAGAATTCAAGGTAAATTGGATTGGAGATCAGAATGAATTATATTATTCTATATGTCAGTAATTCAAACAGTGAATATATGCTCTTTGGAGAAACATATACAAATATGGCAGGAGTAGAAATGACAAAATACAAAATAACATGTTTCTATAATTGCAGTTCTTAAAAATGATACTAACATGAGTAAAGGCTAGAAGGTGATAGGTGAAAATGAAAATAGTTCTTAGAATTGCTGAGATGACATTTTAAAAATATATTCAGTAAAAGAGAAGATCCACCAAGCTTTAATAAGACACAAAAATAGGATTTGGGCCTATGTTTTTCCATACTGTAATTAAAAATCAAATAGTTTAGATGGAAAACTATGTAATTTATGAATTATATGGAAATAAATGTTTTGGCAAAACATAAATGCAAGAATTGAAACATCCTACTTTTTTTAGATTAGATTAATTTAAGATGGCTAATTTCAGGAAATCTTGGTATAATGTGTGATTTCTAATCAGTATTTATAGTTCAGTAGAAGAATTGTATACTATAACATCCTAACTTAATTTGTTTGAACTCTGATGGTTCTTTCTTTTTTTTTTTTTTATTGAGATGGAGTCTTGCTCTGTCACCCAGGCTGGAGTGCAGTGGCATGATCTTGGCTCACTGCAATCTCCGTCTCCCAGATTCAAGCGATTCTTCTACCTCAGCCTCCTGAGTAGCTGAGTTACAGGGACACGCCACCATACCCAGCTAATTTTTGTATTTTTAGTAGAGAAAGGGTTTCACTATGTTGGCCAGGCTGGTCTTGAACTCCTGACCACAAATGATAACGCTCGCCTTGACCTCCCGAAGTGCTGGGATTCCAGGTGTGAACCACTGCGCCCAGCCTATTTCTTTATATTAATTGTTTTTACTTTTCTTACTTGAGTTTATTATAAATCTATTCAAGAACTACTTGTGTAAAATAAAGTGCCTGACTTCTAAAGTGTTAAGTTCACTTTTGTTTTCCTTTTGTGGTTTCTTTTAGGCATTACCTGACACTCAGATCACCAGTTATGCAGCAACTTTACACCGGAAAAAAACACTTGTACCAGCTCTCTATAAAGTTATTCAAGATTCAAATAATGAGGTAGGTGAGCTCAAGAAAAATAATTTCTACATAGTGACATGAAATATGTATACCAAAACATAAATTTTAAGTTTTATAGTTTTCTCTCCTTGTGGATCTGGAAAATTTTCTTTCTGCCGTTTTTCATTCTGATAGTTGCTTTGGCTTTCCCCATTCTCTGCCTTTCCATATTTTGAAATGTTTTGGTCAAATTTTTTCCTGTTGAGTGTACAGTATGTTTTGATTCTTGATTTGAGTGACCATCATTTTAGTGGATTATTTATTTAATTTGAAACTTTTCTGTTCCTGTTCTGGAATGTTTCCTGCTCTGGAAGCCATATGTTAACTGTATACTGATTTAGCTTTATTTATCTTAAGTATTCTTACAGTTATTTTACTGATAGTACATAACTAGGTATAAAAACCTGATCAGTGAAATCAAACTGATAACACAGAATGATGCTGCTAGTAAATTTAGCCTGAAAAGAATCAGAGGAAGCACTTTTTAGTCTAAATAGTCAAGACCAATAAACTTAGAATAAGAGTTTTGTATTGTTAAACCTGTGATAAAAGGAAAAAGTGTAGTTATTGAATCTGTATGTTAACTTATGCAAAATACACACATTATCTTTCCATTAACACAGTAGTATAACATACAGTTTTATCACCCTGGATTCATGTATGCTTAAATGAAAATGAAAGGAACACACAGGAAAGTAGCTTCTTATCTTCCCAGATACAGCCTCCAAGAGTGCCTCTGCTGTGTACTGGAGTGAGTTTGAAGAAGTTCAGGTAATCCTCTCCTAACCAGCAGCTTAACTTCAAGTGCATCTTCATTTTTGTCCTATCACTAAAAGCTTGCTTATTGACCTCCTTCTTTCCTGTCTCCTAAATTGCTGGCTCTTGGTTAGACTTGCATCTGTTGCTATCTGTAGCAGCAATTCCAGGATTCATTTGCTGCTTTTTCTCTTGCAGTGTATTTCTGAATGTTTTATAACTCTGGGTATGCGTAATATACATATATGCATATCCATATCAGTCAAGAGTTTTCAGAATTCTTTGTTTGAATAATGAATGTGTGTATTCCCTACCCCTTGTTTTGCGCTGTCTTAACATTTAAGCTTTGCTTATTACAATTTATTTGTTTTAATGCTTTTTCTTTAGATTGTAAGCTCTTCATCGGCGGTGGTCAGATACTTTTTATTCGTTAGTTCCCTAGAATCTAGTATTTTGTCATGTACATAATGAATATAGGATAATATTGATTGGAAGGACAGTGAAGTATAAAATGAGATTCTAAAATGACGTTTTCATTAGAGCTCACAAGTGTACAAGAAGTACCCTTTTCCTATTTTTTGTTTAATGCTTTGGAAGCTATTATATTTAAAAAGCTATTCTCATTACCTTCTGTAGTCATATTTCATAATAAAGTATGGGACTTTGGGGGTCTCATGGCTAGAAATGGAAAAATTATGACTTGAGAGATGTGAACTCAAGATCCATCATTCATTATAATCAACCAGTTGCTAGAGCAGGTCTGAGTTTCTCTCCTGTCTCCTGTCAGGTTAGAAGGTTCTAACCATGTGTTCAGAGTTCAGAAAAACAGAATGATAAATTCTATATAATCTCAAAACAATCCTGGACTTCAGTCATAGAAGGAGATCCCTTTTAATTCTGATTTTGTTATATTCTGAAAGAAACAAACATACTATTTAGGTAACAAGAAATTATTTTGGAAAATTGTCATGTGCCATATTTAATACAAATTAGAACTTACAATAGTCTTACATTTTTGCTTTTAAAGACCATAAAAGTTCTTCAGAATGTGTATTTCCTAGAAGTTTAGTATTACATGTCATGGTCAACCTGTGTTACAGCTTCAGTCTTAATCTCTAGACCAACATACTGCTTTATTTTTCTCCAGTTCCCACTTTGAGATCTCTTAGTCACTCTAGCAGTTCTATTTCACAGAAACCTCTAATCCATTAAACCTGTAACTATTTCATGATTTGAATACCTTTCCTCCTCTCCTTGGTGTCTCACTTCTCACTTTTTCTAACCAAATTTTCATGGCCCATCATTACAATTATTTTCTTGAACACATTCTTAGCTCCTTTGCCTCTCATTCCCTTAATTCATATTCATAATATCAACATGGGATGAAACCCAGCCATCCATTTGTGTCATACCTGTACCTGGGCAGTTGAACATGCCTAGAGAAAACACAATTTCATTGATTTTCTCCACTTTAAATTTAGGACTACAAATTTCAAATTGGCACATAAAGTGTAGCTTTGTGGGTAGACTGTTTCACTGTTCATTTTACACCTTCTCCTTCCTCTTCATTTTCAGCTTGTTTTCTGTGTCATTTAAAAAAAGAAGAAAATATTTGGAAACTTTCATATTTTCCCATTCAAATCTACCACTCTACAGCACTCTCTTGCCTTTTCTGCTGTTAAGTGGGTAAAGTGTCTCAGGTTGTATCAAAAGCCATCTCTTCTTCTTAGGCCTGGATCCCATCTTCTCTAGCTACCTTAAGGACTCTGGTACTGCAATTATTCCTTCTCTCTTCCATCACTGATCTTTTTTTCTTTCCCTGATGAGTGGAACATGGTAAACAGCCATATTCTATTTTTTAAAAACTTTGAGCTTACCTCCTATTATATTATCTACTCCATTTCTCTGTCCCTATTCACAGATGAACTTGATAAAAAATTGCTTATTCATAGCCTCTGTCTACTTGTCTCAATTTCTTCACCTCACATTCTTTAACCCACTCAAGTTAGGCTTCATCTTCATTATTCCACTCAAAATACTCTCAGTGTGTTCATCAAATAGCATGTCTCTTAGTAATTTTCATGTCAAAACAGTGTTTGCTAAATGTGCAAAGGTGTCAGTTATGATTTTTTCTAATCCAAGGATAATGATTTTAATACTTTTTGATGTGGGTGGTGGTGCCATTTAAGGGAGGTCAGAAGCATTAAGAATTTGAGAACATGGTGCTATGATACATATGCTTTGACTTAAAGTTGTTTTTTTTTTTCCCTGAGACAGGGTCTCACTCTGTGTATCCCATGCTGAGGTACAGTGGCACCATTATAGCTCACTGTAACCTCAAACTCCTGGACTCATGTGATCCTCCAACCTCAGCTTCTCAATTAGTTACAAGCACATGCTACCACATCCTGCTAATTTTATTTTTTATTTTGTAAAGACAGGGTCTCCCTGTGTTACCCAGGCTGGTCTTGAACTCCTGGGCTCAAGCAATCCTCCTGCCTTGGCCTCCCAAAGAGCTGGGATTATAGGCATGAGCTGCTGAGCCTGGCCACAATTAACAATTTTAACACATAGCATTTTTTTTTTAAGACAGGGTCTCACTTTGTCACGCAGGCTGGAGTGCAGTGACTCGAACACAGCTCACTATAGCCTAACCTCCTGGGCTCAAGCAATTCTTCTGCCGCAGCCCCACAAACATAGCTGGCACTACCTGGGCATGTGCCACCACACCTGGCTAATTTTTGTAGTTTTTGTAGAGATGAGGTTTTGCCACATTGTACAGGCTAGTCTCAAACTCCAGGGCTCCAGCGATCAGCCTGCTTCAGCCTCCCAAAGTGTTGGGATTACAGGCATGAGCTACCCCGCCTGACTGGCAAGTTTTTAAGTCTTACTGATTAAAAGTTACTGAATTGCCAACATCTGTCCCCCCCACTCACTTTAAAAAAAGAGTAATAATGTTCTTCACTGTGCTTAATTAAAATATAGTGTCCCACATGCCAGTGTACCTGTTGCTACTGAGAAAGAGGAGTTTAAGGTCTTCATAAAAGAAATTCAGCATGCTACGTGTGGTGGCTCACACCCGTAATCCCAGCACTTTGGGAGGCTGAGGTAGGCAGATCACAAGGTCAGGAGATCAAGACCATCCTGGCCAACATGGTGAAACCCTGTCTCTACTAAAAATACAAACATTAGCTGGGCTTGGTGGTGCGTACCTATAGTTCCAGCTACTCTAGAGGCTGAGGCAAAAGAATTGCTTGAACCCAGGAGACAGAGGCTTCATTGAGTGAGCCAAGATCGTGCCATTGCACTTTAGCCTGGGTGACAGAGTGAGACTCTATCTCAAAAAAAAAAAAAAAAAAAAGAAAGAAATTCATCATAATTGTACCATGTTCCATAAAGTTTAGGGGAGGCAATCTTTGGAGAGTTTTTCACTAAAGAGACTGAGTTTGAAATACGAGTATAAATTTTTAGTAAACAAAATTTGTGAGAGCAACACATTTTTTTGTTTTTTTTGTGTTTGTTTTGAGAAGGAGTCTTCCTCTTGTCACCCAGGCTGGAGTGCAGTGGCACCATCTCAGCTCACTGCAACCTCTGCCTTCTGGATTCAAGCAATTCTCCTGCTTCAGCCTCCCGAGTAGCTGGGATTATAGGTGCCTACCACCATGCCTGGCTAATTTTTTAATTTAGTAGAGATGGTGTTTTAGCAAGTTGGCCAGGCTGGTCTCGAACTCTTGACTTCATGATCCACTCACCTTGACCTCCCAAAGTGCTGGGATTCCAGGCATGAACCACCGTGCCCAGGCGAGAGCAGCAGTTTTTTACTTCTCCTTAAGAACTGACTATTGCTCTCAATATTTAAGAAAGATGCCAGGAACTGAAAGTTTCCAAAAGTTTATTACTTGTTCATTATTGGCACCGCATGGAATACACTGTTTTATAATTAAACAATCCATACCTCCATTCTAATATAAGAAATGTGGTAGAGTGGAAACATCAACTTGATGTCAGAATACCTTAATTTAGTGTCTTATTTCACCACTAACTTCAACGACCTTTGACAAACTGTCTGACTAGTCTAGACTTTCAGTGTAAGGGGAGAGTTGGAATTTTTTTTTCTTCTGGGTCAGTCTTGCTATGTTACCCAGGCTGGAGTGCAGTGATGCTATCATGGTTCAATGCAGTCTCAAACGCCTGGGCTCAAGCCGTCTACCCTCTTCAATCTCATGAATAGCTGGAGCTACAGATGTGCACCTCCACACCCAGCCTCTGGAATATTTTTTAAGATTTTAAAAACTGTTCTGATAGTGATTTCACATAAAGGGCTTAGTAGTTACTAGACTAGGATCTGTATGTTTGTAAATGTTTTGCGCTTTAGAGGTTTTCTAGAGCTAAGCCTAACTCTTCTAAATATATTAACTGACATGGATTTGTTAAATTTTTATTTTTATTTTTATTTTTTGGTTAAATTTTTATAATCATGAGAGTGACTTTTTATCGTAGACTGTTAGATTATTACAGATGTATGGAACTGTATTCAAGCAGATTTCCAAATGTATATGTATTATTTTAATAATTCAGGATAGAGGAAAGCATATGAATTTACTGAACTGTTCTTTTTTTAAAAGCATTAGTGTTAAACTTTAACAATTATTTTATAGTCTCTTGTCAGCATTTTATATGAATTTTAAAGTCATAGCCAGTTCTGTGCAGCCTATGGTTACTCCAGCAAACTTTTTATAAATTGGCAGTACATATTTAGGGGAAAGTGGGGATGTTTATTTTAACTGCCCATTTTCTTCAGTTTTTTAGGTCATGAAGTTTTTCATAAGTCATATTACATGATATTGTATGAAAAATTAGCCAGTTGAACACTGAAAAAGCTATTTCTGTATACTTTTCTCCTTTTTAAAATCTTTCACATAAATACAATAAGTAAAATTTAAGTCAGTTTTAAAAGTGTGCTTTATTTGTATGTGTTTTAAATATTAGCTAGAATTTTGGATGCATAAATATGTATTGCAAAAATCCCTTCCCCTACTGAGTGGTGTATAATTTGTTTTAATGGAACGTGGAGACTTTAATGAATTTTGTATTACAATGAAGACACTGAACACTTAGTGAAAATTACATCAGTACAATAAACTGATTCCACAGAACACTTGTAAATGCATATATTTTCCTCCAAAGAAACGTGTTTTTCACAGACATGATTAACAAATGTTAAGTAACAAATTATTTACACAGAATCCTTTGTATTCCAAAATATGTACAAAATTTTTGACTCTACAGAAATTGATTAGCAGTGCTTGAAAAACAGAGTTGCTTTGCCCAACAATATGGCTCTTACAAAATTCTGTATCAATACAAACTTTTCAGTAAAAGTGGTATATAATTTGTTTAAATCATAGTCTCAGTTGCGATTTTAAGTTTATTGCCAATAATATTATTCAAAATTATTTTATTCAATGGAAAGTTTTTTAAAATGGAGGATAGTAAGAGTTGGTTAGAAACGGAAATTCTTCTCAAATGTAAATGTAGTATATTGGCTAAAGGACTAATAATCTAGTAAATTTAATAGTACAGTATACTGAATGGTACATTAATATATGGGCACAAAAGAATTTTTATAGTTAGTGGATTGATCAGTTTAATATGTGGTCTCTTTACACAAAGGTTTTGGTTAAATTAACTCAAAATGTGGAGAAATTAATATTAAGACTCTTTTAAAAATATTATACAGATATATGTACCTTAAAAAAAAAAACAGTTACAACCAAAAGAATTGAAATGACCGATGCACTTTATTTTCCTTTTAGCTCCTGGAGCCTGTCTGCCACCAGCTGTTTGAGCTCTATCGTAGCTCAGAGGTTCGACTTAAGAGGTTCACATTGCAGTTCTTGCCAGAATTGATGTGGGTTTATTTACGGCTTACAGTTAGCCGAGACAGACAGAGTAATGGTTGCATTGAAGCACTTCTATTAGGAATTTACAATTTGGTAAGTTGATGATGACAATTTGAGAAATTTTAAGTACTTTTTAAGGTCCTCTGAAATAATGCTTAAGGAATGTTTAGAGAAAAATAAATTGGCTGGGCACTGTGGCTCACGCCTGCAATCCCAACATTTTGGGAGGCCAAGGCAGGCAGATCACCTGAGGTCAGGAATTCGAGACCAGCCTGGCCAACATGGTGAAACCCTGTCTCTACTAAAAAGGCAAAAATTAGTCAGGCATGGTTTTGTGTGCTTGTAATCCCAGCTACCCAGGAGGCTGAGGCAGGAGAATCACTGGAACCTAGGAGGTGGAGGCTACAGTGAGCCGAGATCGCACCACTGCACACCAGCCTGGGCAACAGAGTGAGACTTCGTCTCATAGATAGATAGATAGATAGACAGAGGCTGGACATAGTAAATCATGTCTATAATTCTAGCACTTTGGGAGGCCAAACTGGGAGGATCACTTGAGCCCAGGAGTTTGAGACTAACCTGGGCAGCTTGGCCAAATCTCGTCTCTATAAAAAATTAGCTGGGCATAGTGCACATGCCTTTAGTGAATATCTCTTGGAGCCCAGGAAGTCAAGGATGCAGTGAGCCGTGATTGTGCCACTGTGCTCCACCCTGGGCAACAGAGCAAGACCCTGTCTCAAAAAAAAAGATAAAACAATTCAAATGTCTATAAGCATAATTTGTTTAAAGTAATTAGGTTGAGTACAGAGGTAGGTATTGATAATGCATTTTATAAAGTATGTAAAACTATAATTTCATAGCATTATTAATATTTATTTCTTCAAAGTTTTTTATCTGACCAGTGTTTTTGAATGTATGGCACTGAGTTGGACACTGAAAATATGGAGAATTACATGTGCGGCACCTACTTTTAGGAAACTCTTGCTGTGCTCGAAAAAGCATGTTTACAGAAATAATAATGCAGTTTGTGTAATAAGAGGATTTTAGAGAGAAACTCAGATGTTAGCTGAAGTTATCATGGCAAGCTTTATTGAGGTAATGGCATCTAAGCTGAGCTTTATGAAGAGGTATAGTTTTGGTCCGTTGGGATGAGGAGCAGGTGAGGTTTCAGGAAGCAGCTATCAAATGAACATAAGTAGAGAGGCAGGAGAGTCAAGTCTTGTCCTGGAAATAGAAAGTAATTCTGTTTGAAGCACAGAGTATATATGCAAGCTGGAAAAGTCAGTTTTGTATCAGTTTTAGAGAGTTTTTAAATTGAAGAGTTTAGGTTTAGATTCTCTTTAAAGCATTTAGACAGTTTTGAACAGACGAATTGTATTATATATTAGGAAAATTAATCTGGCGGTATGCAGAGAGACTTTGGAATTACAAATTGAATGTATCATCACTCCTTATATTTTAAAGGCTATATACATAATTGAGAAGAATGAGGCAAATGGACATGGGATTTCTGTTTCTCTGAGGGGAGGACATCAGTTACAGGAAAAAAAGTCCATATAGTATTATACCATGTTACGATTTTTAAAATTTTAGTAAGAACACAGTGGCAACTTGCGGGGAGAAATGAAACCATGAGCACTTCTGAGATACTAGGAGTTTTACATGGAACTTGAAGATTGAGACTTAATTACTTCTACAAGATGGGGATGGTATGCTAGAAAGGTTACAAAGACTATATGAAGCAAGGTGAAAAGGTGAGAGAATTTAGGAACATGGGAACATGTACATAGCACTTTTCTGAAGACTTGGGCAGCAAGCACCTTTTCTTGTGTAATGCAAGGAAATAAAAAAGCACAGCATCATATTTCCACTCCCATGTGCCTCTGTACAAAGTTGGGCAGTTACCTGAACTCATCAGTGAAGAATCGTGAATTTTATGAATGTATTTTGGAGTCATTGAGTGGGGTAGCGATTTAGAAATCAAAGTGTTGTTTGTCATAAAAGTTGTAAATTTGTTAATAGTTATTTGATAATCTATTATGTATTTGATAGTACATTGTTTATGAAACTCTTTTCTTCTAAGGAATTAAGTACCGTAAACATTATTTTACTTTTTTCTCATGATGTCCAGTTAAGCACCATTAGTATTGAAATTTCTGCCCCTTGAAGTCTTATATTTTGTTTATTTAGTATACATTGTAAACAAATACTCCACATAATAAAGTTTAGTTTTATAATTGAACAGTAGTAAATATAAGAAAATTGAATCTCATGGTAAATATTCTTCACTTATGGTAAATATTTTTCTGTACCAGTGCTCATTCCTCTAAGTATTAGTAACTTTAAAAAATTGTTAATAAACATTTCCATCACTACAAGTCTGAAGGAAGGAGCATGGGCTTTAGAATGACTTATATTCAGTTCAGAACCATGCCCTGCCACTTACTGGCTGTTTTAACTTTGGGCAAGTTACTTAATATCTTGACTTCAGTTGCCTCATAGGAAAAAAAGAAAACATTGTTAGTAGGACTAAAAACAATTTGAAGAATTCATCATGTTGCCTAGGGTGTTTATAAATGTTCATCATTATTATTGCCATCAAAATTAAAAGTAGATTTGAAAAAAAGTGAAAACGGGTGTAGGATGAAATTCTCTGCTTTTCTAACTTCCCTGAATTTTTTTTTTCAAGTAGGAAATTTGTTTTATATATTACTATGTTTCCTATAGTGCTTACCAGCAGATACTTAGTAAATGTTTGTTGATTTAATAATGAAGTTTGGTGGTTTAGATTATGCTTAGCATTAAGCTATCATTTTTATTAATATGTTTCATGTAATAAAATTCAATAATGGGACACATGAAGCAAACATTTTGCAAAGTGTCACATTTGACAAGTTGTTGGCATAACTTGTTGGTGCTGTGGTTCAATTATCTTTTGAGAATGCAAAATTAGTATACTATGGAAAAATGCTCAGTTATATGTCAGAAATGTAACCCTAGGCTTTGGATGCCTTTTAATTCCCCTGATATCCGTGTTCTTTCTTTTCTGTGGTTCTCAGTTTTTCTTAGTCACACTGGGAGTTGTCCATATATTATCTTTTTTTTTTTTGAGACTGAGTCTCCCTCTGTTGCCCAGGCTGGAGTGCAGTGGCACGATCTCAGCTCACTGCAACCTTCACCTCCTGGGTTCAAGTGATTCTCCTGCCTCAGCCTCCTGAGTAGCTGGGATTACAGGCGCACGCCACCACACCTGGCTAATTTTTGTATAAGTAGAGATGGGGTTTCACCATGTTGGTCAGGCTGGTCTCAAACTCCTGACCTCATAATCTGCCTGCCTCAGCCTCCCAAAGTGCTGGGATTGCAGGCGTGAGCCACCGTGGCCGGCTATTATTCATATGTGCTTTTCTGTTTTTCCCTCTTTCCCTCCCCAGCACTTTGCTTCAAATAGCCCCAAGGGAGTTTTATATTTCTCTTAAACAAAATTTAGCATATCCTTTTCACAAATAACTGCAAAGATAAATCAAAAGTATTTGGCTTAATTTGAAATTTAAGAATAAAATTAAAACATTTTTGCCTAACTTAAATCAGGCCCATTCATCTTAGTATAGGCATTCTCTGATACACAGTATAGCCCAAATGTGGTGGGACCTGGTTTGATTACAAAGAAGTTACGTGAAACTCAAGGGACTTTTCAGACCTATTTTCCTACCATGATTAGAGATATGATAGGTACCATTGGTACTCTTCTGTGACATAATAAACTCAGAAATGAGCCCTTTAGGGAAGTTCTTTGGGTTTTGTGTTTGATGATGATGATTATTGCTGCTGTTATTCTTGTTTCTTCCTTTTTTGGGTGGGCTGGGGGATTGGAATCTCCCTCTTTCACCCAGGCTGGAGTGCAGTGGCACAGTCTCGGCTCTCTGCAACGTCCGCCTCCCAGTTTCAAGTCATTTTCCTGCCTCATCCTCCCAAGTAGCTGGGATTACCGGCATGTGCCACCACGCCCAGCTAATTTTTTTATTTTTAGCAGAGACTGGGTTTTGCCATGTTGGCCAGGCTAGTCTCGAACTCCTGACCTCAAGTGATAGTGCCTGCCTGAGCCTCCCAAAGTGCTGGGATTCAGGAATGAGCCACTGTGCCCAGCCTGATGTTTCTTCTTTTTAGGCTGTGTAGCTACTCAGTCTCTGACTACCTACCATGTGGGTCTGGTAAGGGTAGTCTTCTGTCTTTGAATTTTATGCCAGTGATGTATGCTAGTATGAGTTGTAAGAGAAATAGACAAAAATAAGACAGCGGGGAAAGGATTGCTGCAGTTTTCACTCCTCTGATTGCCATCATCTGTAGGCACATATTTATTTATAACAGGAATATTGGCGGTGCCAGAGACTGGAGAAATGAAGGATACCATTGTCCATTGTCCTTTTTATGAAAATAAAGTGCTTTTTAAAAAAATCACAAGAACTTTCTTATAGTTTAGTAAAAATTACTAAATATGAATTTATTTTTAATGACTCAGACTAATAATCTTTTTTGTTTGTTTTTGAGACAGGCTGTCACTCTGTCACCCAGGCTAGGGTGCAGTGGGGCGATCTCAGCTCACTGCAACCTCCACCTCCCAGGCTCAAGGGATCCTCCCACCTCAGCCTCCTGAGTAGCTGGGACTACAGGTCTGCGCTACCATGCCCAGCTAATTTTTGTATTTTTTGTAGAGACAGGGTTTTGCCATGTTGCCTAGGTTGATCTCAAACTCCTAAGCTCAAGCAATCTGCCTGCCTTGGCCTCCCAAAGTGTTTGAATTACAGGCATGAGCCACCACACCTGGCCCAATAATTATTAATTGTGGCTAATTTCAGGTCATTAGTTTATTGCTGAGTGATTATAAGAGTTTCTTTTATTCAAGATTCATTCTTAAATGTTCTCACCATTTTTTTAAAAAAGGATAACTGTGAAGTGTTGTATTTGTTAATTAACTTGATTGTGATAATCATTTCACAGTATATACATATATCAAAACATCATGTTGTATGTCATAAATATGTAATTTTCACTTGTCAATTATACCTCGGTAAATCTGGAAAAAAATTCTGTATTAAAACAATGTGTTTTTCTTATTTTTGTAAGTGTGGATCTCTTGGATAAGACCTTTTAATTTTAATCTGTTTAGCATAGCCATGTTTGTGCTAAAAGATCTAATCACTTGTAATCCTATCGTGTATGTAAATGTAACATGAAAATTGATTTGTTTTCCTGCTTCATGTCTTTGCTGTCATGTTGTATTTGGTTTAGTATAATATTGTACTCAATATCTATCTCTGTGGATTATAACTCTACTACCAAAGAGTACAAATTTGTTAATAAGTTTGAAAAGATAAACTAGGGTGGTAATATTTTCATCTATTACTATTTCTGAAAAGTCTTCCTACTGCCAATTATATATTCTGTAAATTAAGAAAGTAATTATTTTCTTGTAGATCTGTGATTATTTCATTATCTTTGTATATTTTTTGACTATAGGAAATTGCTGATAAAGATGGGAACAATAAAGTTCTGTCTTTCACTATCCCTTCCTTATCCAAGCCTTCAATATACCATGAAGTAAGTAACATCGGAAAGGTGAAATTATTTTAAATTATATTGAGTAACAAATTGAAAGTCAATTTGTTATTAGAGATAATATTCCTAAAATATCTTTACTGATTTGCTTCTTAAAAGTGGATGTTTATTATTAGTGATGTAAGATTGAGCTGTGATGAGAGAGGCAGAAAATAATGAAACATTTTCTCTAGTTTTTTGTTTTTTTAATTCTTCTACCAGTATCAGTTTTTACTCTCATTAGTCTTCTTATGAATTTTAAGGAACATTCTTTATTTTTTTATAATCTTATTTTTAATTTTTAAAATCTGATAAGCCTTAAAAATATTCTTGAATTTTTAAAGTCTTCCATACTACTTAGAAATCACCTATGTTAGATTGATTTGTTTATTATTCTTTATTATTCTAGGAAAATAACTACTTAAAAGAATGTTGACACTCTAATTGTTGAATTTCAGTTTAGAGGAATCTAATTGCTGCATTCTAGGTATTCATTACATTATACTTTTTTGCTTATATCTATTTGGTTGAAGAATTTGAGAACACTAATAATCATGTAGATAAATGAAGCCTGTTAAGCTGAACTTTTCTTTCTGTCTTTAAAATCCAATAAGAGATCATTATGAATCAAACCTCTGGTCTGCATTAGTCTTTATTGCCACTACACTAAGTTGTGAGGATAACATTTAAAGAAACTTTACTAGTAATCTAGACATTATATTCTATTTTCCTGTCAACACAAAGTATCCTGACTATCTCATAACTCTGCACTATTAATTTTTGTAATTAATTCCCTGGGACTTTGTTTTGTGTTTAAAATAGAATGTCTCCCATCTAGCCAGGAATCATTTTAGCACAGAATATTTCTGAATAATAGATTTTAATTAAGTTCTATATATCATGTTATGAAATGAAATGGAGAGTAGTAAAGTATTAATGAATTTTTTTTTTTTGAGATGGAGTCTCGCTCTGTCTCTCCATTTCATTACTATAGAAATGAAATGGAGAGTAGTAAAGTATTAATGAATTTTTTTTTTTTTTTTTTTTTTTGAGATGGAGTCTCGCTCTTTCTCCCAGGCTGGAGTTCAGTGGCTTGATCTTAACTCACTGCAACCTCTGCTTCCTGAGTTCAAGCGATTCTTCTGCCTCAGCCTCCTGAGTAGCTGGGACTATAGGCATGGGTCATGACGCCTGGCTAAGTTTTTGTATTTTTAGTAGAGATGGGGTTTCACCATGTTAGCCAGGCCGGTCTCGATCTCCTCACCTCGTGATTTGCCTGCCTCGGCCTCCCAAAGTGTTGGGATTACAGGCATGAGCCACTGCGCCCAGCCTGGTGGTTCTTTTAACTTTAGAAACATGAACTTAATTATGTTTGAGACATTTAAAGAGACATTTGGGCTGGGAGTGGTGGCTCCTGCCTGTAATCCCAGCACTTTGGGAGGCCAAGGTGGGTGGATCACTTGAGGTCAGAAGTTTGAGACCAGCCTGGCCAGCATGGTGAAACCCCATGTCTGCTAATAATACAAAAAATTAGCTGGATGTGGTAGTAGATGCCTATAATCCCAGCTACTCGGGTGTCTAAGGCACAAGAATCACTTGAACCCAAAAGGCGGAGGTTTCAGTGAGCCCAGATCATGCCACTGCACTCCAACCTGGGCGACAGAGTGAAACTCTGTCTCAAAAAAAAGAGAGATATTTGATTATTGTCTTCAACATTGTTGTATTATTTAATTATAAGCAGTTGTATGATGTTCTGGAATATAGATATTAAAATGGATGTGTTTTTTCAGCAACTTTTCTTACCCTCCTAAATATAGATTTATTGCATAATCTTTTAAAAATGTTTTTTAGTTTTATATTTTACACACAATTTCTAAAAGAAGCTATAGAATTTACATAATTGAGAAATGGAAAAGATTCTGAATCTTTTCTGTGAAGAGTGAGAAGAATGAATGATCTGAAACTGAATAAATAAACAAAAAAAACTTTTGTGGAAAAGAAAATTAAATAATATTACATGATACAGATTTTTACTTCATGGTAGAGACATTGTCTCATACTGTACCTTATTTTTGTAGCCCTCAACAATTGGATCCATGGCTTTGACCGAAGGGGCATTGTGTCAGCATGATCTCATTAGAGTTGTTTATAGTGATCTTCATCCTCAGAGGGAAACATTCACTGCACAGAATCGGTAATGGTCAAAACTGTATATAGTAACATCCTCGTATGTATGTATTTATGCATGTACATATGAATGAATGATTGAATGACAGAGTCTCATTTTGTCACCCAGGCTGGAGTGCAGTGGCACAAATATGGCTCACTGCAGCCTTGACCTCCTGGGCTCAAATGATCTTCCTACATGGCTAGGACTACAGGTGTCCACCACGATGCCTGGCTAATTTTTAAAAATTTTTTTTGTAAAGAAAAGATCTTGCTATGTTGCCCAGGCTGTTCTTGAACTCTTTGCCTCAAGCAATTCTTCTGCCTCAGCCTCACAAAGTGCTGAGATTATAGGCATGAGCCACTACACCTGGCCCATTTATTTATTTATTTAGAGACAGAATCTAGTTATGTTGCCCAGGCTAGTCTTGATCTCCTGGGCTCAAAGTCATCCTCCCACCTTAGATTCCTGAGTAGCTGGAATTACAGGCATGCACCACTGCACTCAGCTAACAATTGTTCATTTATGCTTAGTAGTTAACTATAATTACTTCAGTCAAGTTTAGTATAAGAAGAGTCCAAAAGGTAAATACATCGTAGTCGTGAAATACCATTGTCTAATGTTTGGTCATTATGTTATGGAGCAATTATGTTATGGTCATCTTGTATAAAGCAGTGTAAAAAGTGAATGCGCAGTCAGTCAAACCAGGATTCATATTATAGTACTGCAATTTAGCAGTTTCTCTCAGACAGTTTATCTGCTCTCTACACCTTGCTTTCTTGGATGTAGAATGGGATTTGTACCTGAAGTTAGAAAAGTACAAAGTTTGAGGGACAGGTTCCAAAACTGTCCTCACTTCAGACACGAATTGACAGTTTTGGGAGTTCCCAAAACCAAACTCTTGTTTGATAATTTGCTAGAAGGACTCACAGAATTCACTGAAAGCCATTATACTCACAGTTATGGCTTATTACAGGGAAAGAATACAGATTAAGGTCAGCCAAAAGAGATACATGTAGTAGAATATGAAGAGTTTCAAACACAAAGCATCTGTTGTCCTTTCCTGTGAAGTCAGGATACATTATCCTCCTAGCATCAATGTATGACAGGAAACACAAAGTATTGCTAAGGGGGGAAGCTCATTTAAACTCTGCTTTTCAGAGCTTTTTATTGAGGCTTCATTATATAGGCATGATTGATTAGGTTGATTGCCCACTTGGTTGATCTCAGCCTCCATGTGGACTGATGCAGCGTGACCCAGAGCTACCACTTTAAATCACATGGTAGTTCTTTCTTGAATGACCAGCTCCTACCCGAGAAAGTCAGATGTGGTCAGTCCAGCCCCAAGTTCTGGTGTTACCAGTCCCTGCCAAAGACTCTCTTTATCAGATATGACATAGATTAACTTCCTAGGAGCAAAGGCTATATCTCTCTTTGGGGAAGGCCAGTTTATAGATAGTCCATGAATTATGAATAATATAATAATTCATAATATAATAATTCATAATATAATAATTCTGCATTATACTGAATGCATAATAATTATGAATTATTATGGTTCAGTTTAAGGTTTTTCAACTTTACAGTAGTATGAAAGCAATATGCATTCAGTAGAAACTTTACTTCAAGTACCCACGCAACCCTTCTCATTTTTACTTTCAGTACAGTATTCAGTTGATTACATGAAATACTCAATTTTATGATAAATGTAAAATAGGCTTTGTGCTAGATGATTTTTGCTCAACTGTAGGGCTAATGTAAGTGTTCTGAGCATATTTAAGGTAGGCTGGACTATGTTATGATGTTCAGTAGGATAGGTGTATTAAATGCATTTTTGACTTTTGATATTTTCAATTTACAGTGGGTTTATTGGTATGCATTTCCATCATAGGTCAAGGAGCATCTGTGTTTACTATACAGGCTGTCCCCTGGTCTTTGGCCAAGACTCAAAAATGATCATGTTTATCTGGGTATCTACATTTTGTATAGCATTTATATGACAGCTACTATAATTTTGAATATGCCTAACATTTAGAGGAGCAAGTATAGGTTACAGATAGGTTTAAAGATATAACTAATTCATCCTTTAACATTTGCATATATTTTCATATTTTTTGCACAAATTTGATTGCTTCACATCTCTTTTTTATCTACCTTGTGATAAACTTGTGCAGAACTATTTGTCATAGAAATTAGCTAACAATGAGCTAAATCTAGTTCTTCCTCGGGGCAAATGATTTTCCATTAGTATTCATTCTAAGGAGGCTTTAACTCAATTTCCAATACATATTATAAACTTACCAACAATGCCAGTATTATATACCATGTCACAGGAGGGCAGTAAATGAAACCTGAAAAATAAGAGCCAAAGATACTGACACATTCATAGAGTACCAGTCAGTCATTAACAGTTATCCCAGTTCATCATCATATATGGCCAAAATATCTCCCAGAGAGGTCACTCAAGTTTTCAGACTTCTGTTTAACCTTATTAAGTTCTAAAAGCAGGAGTGCTCTCACAAACATGACTTTTACTCTTTCAGGCATATAGTATAATTGAGCTAATAGTATCATCTCTTGCTCCAAGCCTCTTCCAAGGTGCTAATGTATTTCCCACACTGCACAACTCATTTATTCCTTTAAAAACATCTCAGCTACTGTTTCTCTCTTTCTGTTCACTTATACTCAAACTTTTCTACCTTTGGATAGAGGTTAGGTTTGGCCATTGTGTTGGTCCCTATTTCTGGCAGCAAAACTAGCTAGCAAGTGCCTCCCTATCAGTTTATTTCCAAGGATATAGGGTAGATTTATATAAAGAACTAATGTGCTGTCACAACAACTAAACAATAAATGTAAATTCTCTTTCAACTTTAATTTTGCCAGATGGAATGAAGGCACAGCCTATACCATCAGTCCTTTAGGAATTCAGACATAAAGATTTGAAGGTGTAGTTCCAGTTTTATTGCTTAGAAATTGTCTCTGCTCCTTGGATCCATAGTTGCAGCACTGGTACTGCAACAACTGCCTTAGGTGGGAAAAAAATGTTGAGGTGATGTGGAAAAGAAGGGAAAAATATATAGTAATATCACCACCTTCTGTCATTATGAGAAGAACAGAATAGTGATGATCACTATCCCAGCATCATCTCCCCACCGCCTCCTCCCTAATCCCCTCAGAAAAACAGAGGAATCTCTCCAGTGATGATCGGCCCTCACTTGGCGCCCCTCGGGTTAAGTACACAGTCATGAAAGCTTATAAGCCAGCCCTTCGTGCCTGTATCTCAGCCTAGCCTTTTAATTTTAATTTTAATTTATTTATTTATTTTGAGACGGAGTCTTGCTCTCTTTCCAGGCTGGAGTGCAGTGGCATGATCCCAGCTCACTGCACCCTCCACCTCCTGGGTTTAAGCGATTCTCCTGCCTCAGCTTCCTGAGTAACTGGGACTACAGGCGCATGCCACCACTCATCCAGCTAATTTTTGTATTTTTTTAGTAGAGATGGGTTTCACCATGTTGGCCAGGTTGGTCTTGATCTCTTGACCTTGTGATCCACCCGCCTTGGCCTCCCAAAGTGCTGGAATTACAGGTGTGAGCCACCGCTTCTGGCCACCCCAGCCTTTTAGACAAAAATGTCTTACTTGATTTTTCTAATTATTTTCTTTTTCAAATGCTTTCATTCCATGCAATTGCTGTTCCATTACCCTGAGGATGTCTCTTTGCCCATTGTTGGACTTTATGGTCTTTAAGTGTGTTTCTTGCTCCAAAAATGTAACTCAGCAGTCCATATGGGTACAATATCTTCTGGTCCTTTTATAGTACTCTGAACATTTGATCTACAGTCTGATAAGCAAAGTGTAATGCAGAGTGTCTGTTCCTGTGAGGACCCATTTATGGCCTCCAGAGACTGCTGGAATCAGTTCAGCTTGCCAGCTATGTGCAGGGCCTTCCCCCAGAGGAATCTGCCCCATAGCCATTTGCAGTCTTTGTCTCTTTTATTGGCATTTTATGCCTCAGAGGGTACAAAAAGAATACATCTAAATTCAACCCATTTCTGCATTGCAGCAGTACCACCATGTCCACTCATTTCATGGACCCAAATGATCACTCCAAGTGAGTACATAGGGATATTTGCCCATAGGTACCAGTCACCTGATTCTGGAAGGGGGTTCTCCTGATATGCATTGATGTTATCCTACTTACACACTCTTCAAATTCCCATAGTGATTTCTATATGGCTGTTTTCCATATACAGGCACCATATACAGACTTACAAAAACATTGCTAAACTAGTACAAAGAGTTTCCATAAACCCTTCCCCATTCATCTATGGGAAGCTTTTTAGAGGTACAACTTCCCTGGTTCCTACCCGAGGTTCTAAGTGGGTCAACTGGATTAAGATACAGAAGTGTATGTTTTTAAAAAGATCTCTAAATAACTAAATGTGTATCCAGATTTAGAACCCACTTCTTAGACATTATAAACTTTAGGAAAGTGTTTATTCATTCAACAAGTATTTATTAAACAATTATAATATATTAGACACTGTGCTGGACACTAATGATACAGATGAATAAATGAGGTTCTCTGTTCTAAAGTTGCTTATTACTAAATGGGTGAAAGAGACATAGAGGTGTAAAATTACAATTCAGTGGGATATATACATGTAGTAGATATATACACGTAGAAGCGTAAAATTACAATTCAGTGCTATATTAGAGCTACACAGATAACGGACTGGTTTACTTTATCAGAGAGAATTTAGAAGGGCTTTATGGCCAAGGTAAAAAATTTGATCTAGGACTTGAAATCTTAGCAGGAATCACCCAAGTAAAAAATATATATTCTATTAAAGGAGCAGTATACATTAAAGCAAGGAATTCTGAATGGTTATAGCATATTGCTGGAGTGGTAAGAAGATTGATGTAGTGTGGTATATGTTGTTGGTAATGGAGGGAAGTAAGGCTGGAAAGGAAGGATGAGGGTGGATTTTAAAGTACCTTGTAATAGGGACTTTGATTTTAAAGGACCTTGTGGTAAGTTTGGATTTTATTATGAAGTCAATAGGAAGATGGTAGACTTATATTCATAGGGGCGTCGTCTATTCAAGCATGATTTATTCATATTTTTGAGACAGAGTCTTGTTCTCTTGCCCAAGCTGGAGTGCAGTGGCATGATCTCAGCTCACTGCAACCTCCACCTTCCGGGTTCAAGCAGTCTCCTGCTTCAGCTTCCTGTAGCTGGAACTACAGGCACGTGCCACCATGCCCAGCTTTTTGTATTTTCAATAGAGATGGGGTTTCACTGTGTTAGCCAGGATGGCCTTGATCTCCTGACCTCATGATCCAACTGCCTTGGCCTCCCAAAGTGCTAGAATTACAGGCATGAACCACCATGTCCAGATTGATTTGTTTTTTAAAAAAGGCAACATGTCCTTTAAAAAAGGACAAGATGACAACAAGGGATATGACTTGTAATAAGGAGATATAAACAGGAAAACCTTTGAGGAAGATGCTATGGTGATCTGATTAAGAAATCATAAAGGTCAATATTAAGGCATTTTCATAACCATTCAGTATAGTAAATCATTTACTACAGCCTCTAGTAGAAGTAATTATTTGTAATCCTTTTAACCTTGCATTTGTTGTTTTTAGGTTTGAAGTCCTGAGTTTTCTCATGCTGTGTTACAATTCTGCTATTGTATATATGCCTGCCTCATCTTACCAATCTCTTTGTCGGATGGGTTCCAGGTGAGAAGAGTGATTATTATTAATCTTCATATTTATTTATTTGACAATACTTATTTATTTGACAAATATTTATTGAGCACATTCTCTAAGCCAGGCACTATTCTAACTTCTGGTGATACAGCAGTAAACAAAACTCAGGGAACTTACATTCCCGTAGGAGTCCTTATCCTCATGAGTTGGTTTTTTTAAAAATTTTTTTGAGATAGGATTTCTCTGTTACCCAGGCTGGAGTAAGATAGGATTTCTCTCTGTTACCCAGGCTGGAGTACAGGGCTCAATCATAGCTCACTGTGCCCTCAACTTCCTTGGCTCAAGGGATCCTCCCGCCTGGGCCTCTCAAGTAGCTGGGACCACAGGAGCACAACACCACACCCAGCTAAATTTTGTAGAGATAGGGTCTTCCTGTGTTGCCTGGCTTTGTCTTGAAGTCCTGGCCTCAAGCAGTCCTCCCACATCAGCCTCCCAAAGTGCTAAGAGTACGGGAATGAGCCACCATGCCTGGCCTCACCCATTCTTGAAAATATTTTCGGCATTCAAGAAATACTTTCTAGCTGAACATGGAGTTGTAACAAGACATCCAAATCCAGGGTTGTTTAGTGATACATCTTATCACTCCCTGGTTGCCAGTTTTTGTAAATCACTCTAAGATCTTTGAAAAAATTGTGCTATATATGGGGAAAGTCACAAGGAATCTGAACCTCTTTGCATACATTTCATAAATAACTATCTCTGTGTTGGAGAAAGTGATTATCAATAGCACCAATGATATATATGTGTCATTTGTATGTGGGTGGTGGGTACTCTGTATCTCATGGATTATAATATTTCCTAAATCAGAATTTCTAATAATTTGGACATACCTAGGCTGAAGTCTTGTTCTGCCACCCAGGCTGGAGCTCATTCAACCTTTGCCTCTCAGGTTCAACTGATCCTCCCACCTCAACCTCCTGAGTAGCTGGGACTACAGGTGCCCACCACCATGCTAGGCTTTTTTTTTTTTTTTTTTTTTAATAAAGACTGGGTTTCACTATGTTGTACAGGTAGGTCACAAACTCCTGGAATTAAGTGATCTGCATGCCCTGGCCTCCCAAATTGCTGGGATTATAGGTGTTGAGCCACTGCATCTACCCTTAAATTTCTACTATAGAAAAAATTTAGGCCAGGCGCAGTGGCTCACACCTGTAATCCCAGCAATTTGGGAGGCTGAGGTGGGCAGATCACCTGAGGTCAGGAGTTTGATACCAGCCTAGCCAACATGGTGAAACTCCATCTCTACTAAAAATAGAAAAATTAGCTGGGTGTGGTAGGTCATGCCTGTAATCCCAGCTACTTGGAAGGCTGAGGCATGTGAATCACTTGAACCTGGGAAGCAGGGTTGCAGTGATCCGAGATCATGTCACTGCACTCCGGCCTGGGCAAAAGAATGAGACCTTGTCTAAAGAAAAAAAGAAAGAAAAAATTTAAGTGATAAAAATTAGTTTGGAGACAATGGATGTTTAGAGTCACAGAAGTTCAATTATGGAAGGAATTCTGAATTCAGTCTTTCAAAATGCTTTTTACTTGAGGAAATCAATCCCCAAAAAAGGTTAAATGTTGTATTAGTTTTCTATTACTGCATGATAAATTGCCACAAATTGAGCAGGTTAGAACATCACACATTTATTATTTCAGTTTTTGTGAATCAGGAATCTAGATGGTTTAGCTGGGGTTCTCTGCTTAATGTCTTACAAGGCTGTAGTTAAGTTGTTAGCTGGAATTGCAGTCTCATCTGAGGCTCAAAAGTTTTGTTGGCAGAATTCAGTTCCTGTGACTGTAGGACTGAGGACTTCAGTTTTTTGTGGCTGTGTGCTGGAGGCCACCCTTTGTTCCTTGCCACATTGGGCTCCCAACATGGTCAGCCTACAACATGGCAGGTTGTTTCTTCAATGTTGGAGGAGTGAGACTCCAGCAAGACCTGTTACCTTATGTAACATACTCAGGTACACATAATCATGGAATCCCATCACCTTTGCCATATTCTACTGGTTAGAAGCAAGCTATAGATCCCACTCTTGCTGAAGGGGAAGGGCATGACACAGCGTGAATACCAGAAAGATCATAGGGATCATGACTCTCTAAGAATCTATTCACCACAAGTGCTTTGCTCAAGGTCACATGCTATTATGTTACTAAGATCTGCTTATAACAATACTTATTAATTTTGCCAATCTAAATTAGCTCTTACTTTGGTTTTATAGATTATTTTAAAATATTTGTTTCACTTGCCTGTATTAACATGATTAATATCTAACAAAATTCTCATCTCTAATTTAGATGCTGCTTAAGTACTTAACTGCCTATCTGCAAATAAATTTATTTATAATTCATTACTTTTGGTTCATTAAAAGAAATCTGCCTGCTCCATTATTGGAAACATTGTTGTGGCCTTTAATATAATTTCTTTTTTTTAAAATCTAAACCACTTCAACTCCTGCACTTAGATCTTTTTTTTTTTTTTTTGAGATAGAGTCTTGCTCTGTCACCCAAACTAGAGTGTAGTGGCACAATCATACAAAGCTCATACAGCCTCGAACTCCTGGGCTCAAGCATTCCTTCCACCTCAGCCTCTTTTGTAGCTATGACTGTAGGCATGTGCCACTACACTTGGCTAATTTTAAAATTTTTTTTTAGAGATGGGGTCTCACTGTGTTGTCCAGGCTGGTCTTGAACTCCTGGCCTGAAGTGATCTTCCTACCTTGGTCTCCCAAAGTCCTGGGATTATAGACATGAATCACCACACCCAGCCTAATAGAGTTTCTTAATAAAAAATATGGCAGAGTTTCGTGGTCCTCAAAATTTTGTTCTTTTGTTCATTATTCCCCTACAGAATTTTGAAAAACTATGTACTCCTTGTACATGAAGTTGACATTAAAATTTTTTTATCCTATCTTAAATAGGTAGAAATAATATAATTTCTAGGCCATGCAAGGTGGTTCATGCCTGTAATCCCAGCGCTTTGGGAGCCCGAAGCGGGCAGATCCCCTGAGGTCAGGAGTTTGAGAACAGCCTGGCCAACATAGTGAAACCCCATCTCTACTAAATTAGCCGGGTGTGGTGGCACGTGCCTGTAGTACCAGCTGCTTGGGAGGCTGAGGCAGGAGAATTGCTTGAACCTGGGAGGCAGAGGTTGTGGTGAGCCAACATCAGGTCACTGCACTCCAGCCTGAGCAACAGAGTGAGACTCAGTCTCAATATGTAAGTATTGACATAATTTTTAAAAAGCTGTTGGGTCGTTGTTTTAAATATATGTAATGTAAATACCATAATGATGTGATACTCACCATCATCCATTTGAGGAATAAATGAGTAAACTTTTCTTTAAAGGTCTAACATTACATTTATTCCTTCTCCTTGAAATTGAGGGATACATTTTCACTCTCCTTTTCCCACATAGTTTTATCTTAATATAATGCTATTTTCAACTTGCAGGTCTTTTATTATACATCTCTGTTACAAAAAAATATATAAACAGAATTTTAAAAGAATTTCCCAAGATCATAAGGCATTAAACACTAAAAAATTTCCTCTGGACTCACTATTATAGTTGTCTTACTAAATTAATTGATTAAATAATATAGTATATTACAACTTTTGATCATTAAGCATAACTTTCTTGAAGTATCACTTAATGAGATGGAATGGATGTTAGGGAGTTGTTTATTTCTTTGTTTAGTTGTCAGGGAGTTGTTTATTTCTTTGTTTAGTTATTTGTTTAAATAACTAAACTTCCTTTTGTTTTGAGATTTGTGTACTTCCCAGTAATTCACCCTAATACAATTTGGGGTGAGTAAAAGTTAGATGTGTGTGTGTGTGTGTGTGTGTGTGTGTGAAGAGGGAGAAGGATGATTGTGAAAGAGATGGTTAACTATTTTAGAAAAGTTGTTTTTATGGGCAGTCCCCTAGGATGTGTGCTTTATGAGAGCACAGATTTCATTTTTATTTTTTATCTTTCACCTGTTCATGACTGTATGCCTAGGCCCAAAACAATGACTGGTATATAACAGGCACTCAGTAAATATTTGAGGAATGAATAAATTGTATAAATGAACGTATGAAAACAAAAATTGTTTTAATGAATCTGGAAATCACATGCTAAATAGTGTATTTTCCTAGGGTTTGTGTGAGTGGGTTTCCACGGCAACATGAAAAACATTGGAAAGAACTCTGTGGTCGAATAGTATTGGATCCTGAATTTATGGTGCAACTTCTCACAGGGGTTTATTATGCCATGTAAGTAAGTGGAATATAAAATTGTATGAATTCTTCCTAATGTTTGGAAACTTTTAATATTTCTCTTTCTTTTTTTTTTTTTGAGACGGAGTTTCGCTGTTGTTACCCAGACTGGAGTGCAATGGCACGATCCCGGCTCACCGCAACCTCCGCCTCCAGGGTTCAAGCAATTCTCCTGCCTCAGCCTCCTGAGTAGCTGGGATTACAGGCGCGCGCCACCAGGCCCAGCTAATTTTTGTATTTTTAGTAGAGACAGGGTTTCACCTTGTTGACCAGGATGGTCTCGATCTCTTGACCTCGTGGTCCACCCACCTCGGCCTCCCAAAGTGCTGGGATTACAGGCGTGAGCCACTGCACCCAGCCAATATTTCTCTTTCTTCCTTATCAGACGCAATACTGAATCTCTTCTTCTATGATAGGCTTATCTTGTTTTTCTAATATGGTTTCCTTTTAGTACTTTTAAAATAACCAAAATGTAACATAACTATCATTAAAATTGGAGTTTAGAAATTGTCAGGTTTTCTCTATGGAAAACTACCTCTACAAAGTTCATAATCCAGGTTTTCATGAATGCATTAAGTAGATTACTTTGAATATATCACCATGTGATAAAAACCAGTTTGTGTGAAGAAACATTTGTAAACGTATTTAAAATATTGGTTTTGTTTTTATAACCAAAAGTGGTATAGTTTATAAATGAAATGATATAACACTTGGCATGAAAATTTTGCTTCACAGCCAAAATTGCAGGACTTGAAACAATTTAAAAAGTTAAGCTGAAGATTATATATTTGTTCAAGAGAGTAAATGATCTGCTTCTTTATAGGTATAATGGACAGTGGGACCTTGGCCAGGAAGTTCTTGATGACATCATTTATAGAGCTCAGCTAGAGCTTTTTTCTCAACCACTATTGGTAAGTTATTATCTTTACTCTTTATTAAATATTCTTATACCTAAAAAAAAAAAAAAAAAAAAAAAAAAAAGGGTACTAGGTTAAAAATCTGAGACAATCCCAATAATTAGGGGAAAAATTTTATTCCAGAATAACAATTAGTTAACTGTTAGAGAAAACACAAAATAGGTTTAGATCCTTTCCACCTTCCAGTACCAAAATAAAAGTTCAGATAAAGTGAATAATTAAATGTTTTGGAATCCTTTAAGAAAAGAGATGAGAAGAAAGATTCCAAATATTGAAATTTCTAGAGAAGGGAAGACTTTCTAAGCATAAGTGATAGGACAAGTCACTAAAATAAGATTGTTTTTTTTTCCCCCTACATAAACACCTAAATTCTAAGCTCTTAGGTTTTCGGTTTTTTGTTTCTTGTTTTGTATTTTTTGTAGAGACAGAGTCTCTCTGTGTTGCTGAGGCTGGCCTCAGCCTCCAAGACTGCTGGGATTACAGAAGTGTGACACTGTACCCAGCCTATTCCATCAGCTTTGCCTTTTTTTTTTCTTTTTCTGTTTTTGAGATGGAGTTTTGCTCTTGTTTCCCAAGCTGGAGTACAATGGCACAATCTTGTCTCACTGCATCCTCCACCTCATTGGTTCAAGCGATTCTCCTGCCTCAGCCTCCGGAGTAACTGGGATTACAGGCATGCACCACCATGCCTGGCTAATTTATTGTATTTTTAGTAGAAACGGGGTTTCACCATGTTAGCCAGGCTGGTCTCAAACTCCTGACCCCAGGTGATCCGCCTGCCTCTGCCTCCCAAAGTACTGCGAGCCACTGCGCCCGGTCCATCAGTTTTTTTAAGTTTATTTTTTTGAATTTTATTTTGTTTTTGAGATGGAGTTTCTCTCTACCACCCGGTGGAGTGCAGTGGTATGATCTCAGCTCACTGCAACGTCTGCCTCTTGGGTTCAAGCGATCCTCCCATCTTAGCCTCCCATGTCTAGCTGGGATTATAGGCACCACCATCCCCAGCTAATTTTTGTATTTTTAGTAGAGACAGTGTCACCATGTTGGCCAGGATGGTCTTGAAATCCTAATTTCAAGTGATCTGCTGGCCTCAGCCTCCCAGAGTGTTGAGATTACAGGTGTGAGCCACTGTGCCTGGCCTCCATCAGGTTTTTAAAAGCAAAATTAATACATGCAGTGCACAAACTGAGAAACATATTTTCAGCAGGCATGATAAGAATAAGCAAATTAATGTTTCATTTTATGTAAAAAGATTTTGTACTCTCCTACAAAAAAAAACAAATCTCCAAATGGTAAGTGATTAAAAACACAGATGTAAGGCTGGGCGCGGTGGCTCACACCTGTAATCCCAGCACTTTGGGAGGCCAAGGTGGGTGGATCACCTGATGCCACAAGTTCAAGACCAGCCTGGCCAACATAGGAAAACCCTATCTTTACAAAAAAATACAAAATTTAGCTGGGTGTGGTGGTGCATACCTCCAATCCCAGCTACTTGGGAGGCTGAGGCATGAGGATTGCTTGAACGCAGGATGCAGAGGTTGCAGTGAGCGGAGATCATGCTGCTACACTCCAGCTTGGGTGACAAAGCAAGACCTTGCCTCAAAAAAAACCAGAAAACAAAACAAAACAAAACAACAAATGTAAATATCTAGCAGTGAAGTGAGGAAGGCATTCTTTATGTTACAGTGGTAGTATGACACAACGCTGAATATCCCCAGAAGAAGCAGTTTGGTAATGTGTGTTTATTTCTTTGACCCTGTATCCCATGTCTAGCAATGTATTGCAGAAAACTAAACTTAAATTTAACACCGAAATTATAAATACCAGAGAGAATGTATTGTAAGCATAACATTACAGTTTTATTTCTAATTGCAAAGGAATAAAAACAGTCTAAATGTTTCACAGCAGAGAATGATTTAAGTTTCATGATATTTATTTGATAAAACTATATATTTAAGGTTTTATATTAAAGGGAAACACTAGCTTGCATGAGGTAGAAAAACAGTATACAGCTATTTTTTTAGATCTAGACAGGACAGAGGAAGCATACAAAATGCTAATAGTTGTCTAGGTAATTTGTCTGTGGATGTTTTTATTCCTTTCCAATTTTGTAAGCTTTTTGTAGTATTTTGATAATGGTGTTCTTAAAATATTATTTTCTACTTGCAGCATTTTAAGAATACAGCTTTTTATTTTATTGTTTCAAAAATTATTATTTTTTTGAGACAGGGTCTCACCCTGTCACCTAGGCTGGAGTGCTGTGGTGTGATAATAGTTCTCTGTAACCTCTACCTTCTATGCTCAAGTGGTTCGCCTGCCTCAGTCTCCTGAGTAGCTGAGACTACAGGTGCATACCAGCACACCCAGCAAATTTTTGTATATTTTTTGGAGACGAGGTCTCACCATGTTGCCTAGGCTGGTCTCAAATTCCTAGACTCAAGCCATCTGCCTGCTTCAGCCTCTCAAAGTGGTGGGATTACAGGCATGAGCCACTTTGCCCAGCCCATCTTTTTAAAAGCCATTTTATTTGTATCATTTTTAAATATTTTAAGCTAAATATAAATTTATTGAGGTAGCATTTGCAGTAATTCTTCTTTGAATTCCCATTTGTTTCCTAATCTTTCCCTAAGAGTTACATTAAAACAAATGGGTAAAAAATTAAAAAATTTTATCATCATAGTAATACCTAGAACTTATGAAACTATTTAAATTCATAGTTTATCCTTTCAACAATCTTGTAAATTAAGTGGAGTTGGCATTTCCAAGGCAATACAGTAAAGAGATTAGTAACTCTAGTGTTACAGTATTCCTTTATTGTCAGCGTCTCTGGGGGACCCAATAATAATACCCCTTTTCCCTATTCAAATCTAGAGCCACATGATAGACAGAAAAATAGTTCGTAGATGGGGAACAAGTATTTTCATTACTGTTAAAAGCTAAATTGAAAGACTTAACTTTCCTCTACAGCTAGACCTTGGAACAGCCCACTGGAGAAATGAGTGGGCAGATCAGGCAAACCCATCCAGGCTGCTGCTTCATTCCATGTGGGCTTGTCCAAGTGGAGAGGGAGGGAGAAAAACCATCCTTTAGCTCAAGATTTTTGCTAGATTGGTACAACCCAATTAGAAAACATGGATCAGTCAAATGGCAATTACCAGGAGCAGAAAGTGGTAGGATAAAATGCCAGAAGTATTTAGGAAACATTTCACCTCATGTAAATAGAAGAGTAGAGAATATCCCAATGTTGATCAGAGATTAAATTCTGCATGTTATTTATCATCTGAAGAATCAGACAATTCTAAATTGTCTCATAATCAGCTTAAATGTTAATTCTTTCTTTGGAATGCTTTTTCTCTTTGAAAGTCAACCATTTTAAGGCATCAGTGGAGTATGTGACTCATATTTTAGAAATTCTCATTTGAAAGCTTGCTTAAAAGAATAGAGAACAACAAAGATACGTTTCTTACACATTTGTACTTTTATGTGTTATAATGCAAATTTTAAATACATATTCAAAAATTATGGAAACAAGTATAAACAAAAACTGCATATTGATTGTAAACTTGTATAGACTTATATTATCATTGTAGGTTGCCAATGCCATGAAAAACTCATTACCATTTGATGCTCCTGATTCTTCACAAGAAGGCCAGAAAGTCCTTAAAGTTGAAGTCACTCCAACAGTGCCGAGGATTTCTCGGACTGCAATTACAACAGCTTCAATCCGTCGTCATAGATGGAGGAGAGAAGGTGAGTACAAAATCCCCATAGTCCACACATGGAGTCAAGTAAATTTATCACTGTTTACAGACTGTCTTAGCACATGATATTAAAAGACCCTGTATAATTAAATTGTTTTTGTTAAAAATAACACTAGAAATGTGACTGTCTAAAGTTATTTTAATATAAATATATACTTATAAAATACATGTTATTTAGATTGCTGTATAAAGATTAAAACATAAAATAAGATGAGGTTAATTTTTGTATTTTTTTGAACTAAGTAAGAAAAATAGGAAAGAAGTTGCTTTGACCTTGTTACTATACTAGGAAAAAAAGGTGCACATATGAGCACTGTGGGAAAAAGTATATAACTGGCCAAACTAACAATATAATACATGCGATTCATAAAATGATACATTCTTGTTTTTGGATTTTTATCTTTGCCTTTCCCTTTTTTGTAAGTGCTGAATCCAGCAGTATTTCATAGACATGGTATTTGAATAGTCAAGCTGTCTTGCCTAAGAGATATTGCCATTTTAACGATCCTAATTTTTCTGTCTTAATTCATTTGCAAACCTCACATTGTTCATCTGCTGCCTTATGTGTGTGCATGCTGTGCACACACATGTAACTATATAAATAGTATTTGTGTTGATATCATATCCATATATACATTCTCTTATCTGCCTGGGTCAAAATGCTCAGAAAAGAATAGAGCAGCATAAAAGCACTAAAATTTTATATGTTGAATCCCAGATGGCTTTGACTTCTCAAACGAGGCTGACTCGAGTATTCCTGGCTCCCCGATCCAACACGGCTCCACTGACCTAGGGATCAAACGTGTGCAAGAGGGGGAGGTGCTGGTGCGCAGGACCCCTGAGCATGGCTCGCCGGAGCCCAACTCAGCAGCAGCCACAACAGAGGGTAGGACAGAGATGAGGAGGCAGAAGTCAGTGAGGCAGTTGCTGGAGAAGGATCCTGGCTCTCTATCCCCAAGCAGAGCATCTTTCCATTCTAATGTGTGTTACCAGTACCCTAGGGTGTATTAGCTTCTCCTTGCAAAGCACCCTCCCTCCTCATATGCATAGCACCAGGTCAGGTGCAATCTTTAGTTACCATTTGTGCTGGCCTGGAGTCTGCATCCCTGTGTGATCAAGGAACAGCTTGGCATGGCTACTAACAAGGCAGGGTCCTGTCTCCAAAAGGTCTGCAAATGCTTGGAATTTTTTCATTACTGAGCATGTTTATTCTAACATTAGGAAAGAAAAATGCACCCAGTGGACATGAGCCTTATTCATCACTAAGAATGATTTTATTTATACAATAATTTATTCTTTAAAAATTTGTAAAGGGAGTTTTAAAACGTTAGTGTATTATCTTTGGGGCCAGGAGCGGTGGCTCATGCCTGTAATCCCAGCACTTTGGGAGGCTGAGGCGGGTGGATCACGAGGTCAAGAGATCGAGACCATCCTGGTCAACATGGTGAAACCCCATCTCTACTAAAAATACAGAAAATTAGCTGGGCATGGTAGTGTATGCATGTAATCCCAGCTACTCAGGAGGCTGAGGCAGGAGAATTGCCTGAACTCAGGAGGCGGAGGTTGTAGTGAGCCGAGGTCGCGCCATTGCACTCCAGCCTGGGTAACAAGAGTGAAACTCTGTCTCAAAAAAAAAAAAAAGTTAGTATATTATCTTTAAGAAATTGGAAGTGGAGCCAGCTGATTTATCTGCAATTCTATGGTGTTCAATGAAGAATTTCTTAGCTCTTTGACAAAGTATGCTGATATTGATTGGCTTTATCATCTGTAGATTAAGTTGCTTAGGTCTAACTAGTAAACTACAGACATCTTCTATAAATGTGCTATCCTGATGCACAGTACATTTTATGATTTATTGTAAATCACAGTTGCATTCAATTCAATGTAATTAAAATGTACTGTAATATTTAGAGGTCAGATATCCTAGTAGAGACTTATTTCTATAATTTAGGTATCACAACATGGAGGGATTTTTTTTTTAGTACCCTTCCCCCAACTGCCTATCTGTGAAAGAATGCTTCTCTTTGATGGGCAAGTATTTACTTGCTGTTTTGAATGTAATGCCATAGGAATTAGCTTTGTGAAAGAGGGAACTGTAGCCAGTGTTTAAAAAATTATTTAATGTATTGCTACTATGGGATCTTTATATTTATTTATGAAATCAAGTAATTTTAAAATATGTTCTATATTTTTACTTAAAGGCCAAACATACATAAAGCAGTTAACTGCCACCATGGGGAACTCTCTGCTCTTTGGTGCATTAGAAATTTGAGCATGCTCAGTAAGATCTAAATCTACCCTCTGTTCCCTTGCCCATTTACCCAGATTGACCTTATTTCATTTAACAGTGTTGCATGTGCATGACCTAGGGATCCAAAAAAGTTGGTGCTGTAAGATACAGCCTTCCCTTTTTTTCCTGTATCTTATTATGTTATCCCTAGGAGTAAGTTTTATCTTGTATAAACACGTAACAATGAGAAGATGAATAGATGTGTAACCCAGAGTTGACCTAAACTGAACATTCTTGAATGACTGAATCACTTAACATTTATCTACTACTATTGCTAGAATATTGAAAGTGTTTGTGCTAAATGTATTACTGGGTTAATAAACAGCTGCTGAAATTCCAGAAAGTGTGGGATTAGGTTGAAGCATTCCTTCCAATATATATCAAGTCATACACTTTGAAACAAATGAACCAAAATAGTAGTTCCTTTTTAATATCCTATTATATTTATCACTGGTAAACTTTCAATTTGGGTGAGGGAGTGAGAGGGTGTAGCCACAAGGAAAGAGGAATGTTTCCTTATTTTACTTTTTAGTCCAGATTATTTGTAGTTTTATTTTATTTATTTTTTGAGGGAGGATCTCACTCCCATCACCCAGGCAGGAGTGTGGTGGCACAATCAAGGCTCACTGCGGCCTCAACTTCCTGGGCTCAAGTGATCCTCCCACCTCAGCCTCTCGAATAACTAGAACTACAGGCACACCACCATACCCAGCTAGTTTTTTGTATGTTTAGTAGAGATGGTGTTTTGCCATGTTGCCTAGGCTGATCTCAAACTCCTGGGATCAAGTAATCTGCCTGCCTTAGCCTCCCAAAGTGCTGAAATTACAGGCATGAGCCACCGACCCTGGCCTATTTGTAGTTTTAAATCAATATTAACAGAAGCCAAATGTGTAAGTAAAGTCAGCCATGAATAGAAAAGTTCATTAAGAATTCATTTCATAGCTTCTTGGGGTTCAATGTAAATACAAAAAGGCATTAAAAAAAATTCCATTTCAGATGTCTCCTCTTTGGACCATGAATGGTATTGTTATTACCTTTGGAGAAAATTACAAAGTAAAAATGTTTTGAGACACAATTGCCTTTTTATTTTGTAAGGGTTTTTTTCTTGACTCCCAGATAGTCTCACTCTGTTGCCCAGGCTGGAGTATAGTGGCACAGTCGTAGCTTATTGTAACCTGGTTTCCTGGTCTCCAGCAAACCTCTGGCCTCAGCCTTCTCAGTAGCTAGGATAACAGGCATATCACCATGCCCAGTAAATTTTTAAATTGTTGGTGGAGATGTGGTCTTGCTATGTTGCCCAGGCTGGTCTTCAACTCCCAGGCTCAAGCAATCCTCCTGTCTTGGCCTCCCCAGATGCTGGTGACCCACTGCACCCAGCCTCCTTAAGATTCATAGCTTACTGCCTTGAATTCCTGGACTTAAGTGATCTTCCTACTTCACCCTCCTGAGTAGCTGGGACTATAGGCAGGTGCCATCACATCTGGCTAATTTTAAAATTTTTTATGGAGGTAGGATCTTGTCATTTACCCATGCTGGTCTCAATGTCCTCAGCTCAAGGGATCTGCCTGTCTTGGCTAATCCCAAAATGTTGGGATTAGAGGCGTGAGCCACTGTACCCTGCCAAGTTTTTTAAACAGAAGAAAGGAAGTTACAAAACCCTATGAAAAGTTTTGATAATTCAGAACTCTGCTGAAGCTTATAGATTACTGACTAGTCTTCTGCTATGATGTTTTTAAAGAATTTTACAATTAAAATTGGGTTTATTACATGTTGAAATTGAATGGAGAATATAAGCCCATCACCTACCTTTCTACTGATTGTCAAGTAACATTCTATTTGTGACTTTTAAAGCTGGAATTAAGATTATTACTAAACTGGCCAGGCATGATGGCTCATGCCTATAATCCCAGCACTTTGAGAGGCCTAGGCAGGTGAATTGCTTGAGCCCAGTACAAGGCCAGCCTAGGCAACATGGCAAAACCTCATGTCTACAAAATATATAAAAATTAGCCAAGCATGGTGGCACATGCCTGTAGTCCCAACTACTTGAGAGGCTGAGGTGGGAGAATCACTCAAGCCTGGGAGGTTGAGGCTACAGTGAGCTGTGATCGTGCCACGGCACTTCAGCCTGGGCAACAAAGTGAGACCTTGTCTCAAAAAATAATACAAATAAATAAATGTTTTTTTAAAATTATTACTAAACTGAAGACAATACCTGTGATTAAAGTATAATCAGTGTTCCATTATATTATATGCTAAGCATTGCTTAGTATGTAAAATATCAGTAGATTCTCTTGCATGTCGGCTTTTGTGTTATCTTTTTATGGCCATATTGCTTGGGCATCAGATCTGCATGTAGCAAGATTCAGAAGCTAGCACTAAGTCTCTCAGTCTCCTTTCCTAATAAATATACCCAATATTTTAAAAGAGGTTATATAGTTTTGATATGATAATGTCCAATTCTGTTGACTCCCAATTTTATATTACCAATATAAATTCTGAACCAATAACTATCCTTTCTTGGACATTTCGGAGTTCTTTATACTAATTGTAAGTAAATTACTAAAATGTATCATATGAATATAATTTAAAGTTTTTATTTTGAGGTACATTATAACAGTTCTTTTGAAGAGGTTGAGAGAAGTGGTGTCAGCTGCTACTGTTCTTAGTAAATGCCTTTTCATATGGCTTTGCATGATTATTAAAGATTATTAAACTGCTGGATATAAAAGGTGCCTTTTGCTTTAAGGATAGCTTATTTCATTCTTTAGAAGGAAGAAAATAATCCATATATGTAATATAGCTAAGTAAATAGTTTATTTTTCCAGGTACTATGTTAAATAAAAGGTTGTGTTTAAATATTTGTATATATTTTGCTTAGGTAACTTATATCTCTAATATTTGTTTAGATCCTTTCCTAATGTTTTTACCTTAACTGTAATGTTGATATCTGTTTTGTAGACTCAGATTAAACTTTATGGCAGTCTGGGAAATGTATTTAATGAGATAGCAAGCCGATACGAGTTCTTGAAAGAAGCAAATGTATTACTTTCTAAGAGAATGTTGATCATACTCTCAGTAAGATAATTGGCTTTCTGTAAACTGCAAGCTCAATATATTATATGTTCTTTTCTTCTTCCCACAAAAACCCAAGATAAGAATTCTGTTGTTGGCTGGGTGAGGTGGCTCACATCTGTAATCCCAGCACTTTGGGAGGCCAAGGTGGGCAGATAATATGGGGTCAGGAAATCAAGACCAGCCTGGCCAACATGGTGGAACCCCATCTCTACTAAAAATACAAAAATAAGCTGGGTGTGGTGGTATATGCCTGTAATCTCAGCTACTTGGGAGGCTGAGGCAGGAGAATCACTTGAACCTAGGAGGCAGAGGTTGCAGTGAGCTGAAGACCATGCCACTGCACTCCAGTCTGGGTGACAGAGAAGACTGTCTCAAAAAAAACCAACAAAAAAACAAAAAAAGAATTACTTTGTTAACTGCAGTTTCTGCATGAAATGAAATGTGATGGGACACTCTAGTATTTTGTGATTATGACAATACATCTCAATGCTAAGAGTCTAAAATATTATAGAAATCCTTAATTATATAAATATTATCAAAATATACCAAATAGGAAATCTAAATCCTTCCTAAATATCCCTGCTGGTTCCCTATCACTGCTCCCTGAAATATGGAAACCAGTGAGTTCCATGTTAAAGGTTCTAAAGCAATATAGAAGCAATTAACCATTGAGTAAATACAAAGTTTTATTGTAGTTAAAAAGAGTTTGGCCTGTAAGCATAAATGAGTTTTTGGTACAATTCTGGGTAAGCAGAATTAGAAGAGGGGCTTTTTTACACATCTTATGGTGGGTTAAAGAAGGTATGAGGGGAAAGTTGTGTGTGTGTGTGTGTGTTTTAAATAGGTTGATATGGTCATTTCAGAAGAATGATAGAGTGTATTATAAAAATTTATGTTAAACTCTTGTATTTTACCTAGTTGTTTTACATGCCTACATATTGACAGTATACTAGATAATGTGTGGATAGTTTTTTAAAAACTGGACTAAATAAAGCTAAATTGACATTTATTAACATATTAGAATTCTGTGTAGATTAAGATTTATTTCCCCTAAATTATTTAGGGGAAGTGTTCATAGTAGGGCCATTGCCAACTTATAGCAAACATTACCCGAGAGATACGGTTAGCATTGTTATTCACAGCTGCTTCTTATTTAATTTAGCTGTTGCTGAGTCTGTCTGATTTGTTTTCTTAGGTGCTGAGGGTGTAAATGGAGGAGAGGAGTCTGTAAACCTGAATGATGCAGATGAAGGATTTTCATCAGGGGCTTCCCTCAGCAGTCAGCCAATTGGGACCAAACCATCCTCCTCTTCTCAGAGGGGAAGCTTAAGGAAAGTAGCAACTGGGCGTTCAGCCAAGGATAAAGAAACAGCCTCTGCCATCAAATCCAGTGAAAGCCCTCGAGATTCAGTAATTCGCAAGCAGTATGTACAGCAACCAACTGATCTTAGTGTAGATTCAGTTGAGCTGACACCAATGAAGAAACACCTGAGCCTGCCTGCTGGCCAGGTGGTGCCAAAAACCAATAGTTTAAGTCTAATCCGGACAGCCAGTGCTTCCTCAAGTAAATCATTTGACTATGTAAATGGCAGTCAAGCAAGTACCAGCATTGGGGTTGGCACTGAGGGAGGTACTAATTTAGCAGGTAACAATGCTAATCGATACTCAACTATCAGTCTGCAGGAAGACCGGCTAGGTCAAGCTGGTGAAGGTAAAGAGCTCCTCAGCCCAGGAGCCCCCTTAACCAAGCAGTCTCGATCCCCAAGTTTCAATATGCAGCTAATATCCCAGGTGTAGTTTTGACTTCTTCCCTCCTCTTTCTGCTTACCTTTTAAACTGAACATTTCATTGTGCAAGAAGACACTTCATCCCACATTGTGAAAACATTGGTCATCATAATCAGATTTCATTTAGTTTAGGTATCTTCATATTGTATTTTGTATCGAAACAGCAATAAGGTTTTCTTTATCCCTCTTTCCTACATCTTCTCTTCACCTATTCCTTGTAAATGTGTTTGTGAAGCAGTATAAAATGTTTGCCTTTTCCATGCCTTCCTTTCTCTTTGGGTGATGTGCAATCCATTGTAGGCTGATCGGTCCCATTTCAACACTGTGAGACTGAGGATACATTAGAGGAAATGGTGTATATGATCCCTATGAAACGATTCTTTGGCTTTTGTTTAAAAACAAAGCAAAACGGGTTTGTTCTCATAACCTATAGAACTATGAAGATTACTAGATCATATTTTTTTCTCTCTTAACCAGGAGTGCCTCAGAGATTCTGCTATGATTTTGAACTTCTCTGAGTCTGTGCAATCATTTTCTGGAGAAGCATGGGAAAAGGTGGTAGACTGCTGCACTTTTTAATTAAAATGAGGGTAGCTCTTTCTCCACCCGCCCCCCCATCTCCTTTATCCCAAGACATAATAGTTCCATTATGGAGGCATTTAAATCAAGTTATGACCACCTCCACTGGAGGACAGGGCTCTAAGTTGATTGTGTAATTGATAATGCACTTTCTCAATGGCTCTATAGTCATTATTAACATGTCTTCCCTCTTCCCCACAAGGACATATAAGGTCATTTCTGTCCTCCAAGTTTGGCCAACTAACAAATCAGAATCTGAGGGGCATGTGCTGTTTCCCAGGAATGATTGACACTTTGGTGCTGGGGTTTGTGGGGGGAGGGGTGGTTTTTGTTTAGCTTGTGTGGAGATTGTGTGTGTGAGGGGAGACTTTGATTGTTGTTTTTTTTCCTTTTCCTTTGTGAGCTGATGATGGCTGAAGTATGACAGTACATCTTCAGGTAAAGAGAGGGATTTCTCAATCTACTTTCTGTTATGTCAGACTATAAGAGAAACCCTTTCAGCTGCTTTCTAGATGTACCTAAATTCAGTCAGACATTTTGGATTAAGAAACCTAAAGTCCTGATAGATTACCTACTCCGAAATACATCAGGGACAGACAATTGGCTGAAAACACTGATGCTTCAATGTGACACATTTTTATAGAACATTTCTACCAGGGGGTACTGAGCTTGATTTTTCCTGTAAGGACCACACTGCCTTTGTGTTTAATGTAATGCAATTTGTGTACCTTCTAATCATATATCTGCAGTTTCTCATTTTTATAAGACTTTGGAATCATGCCAGTAAGCTAAATGTTGAATGTATGTAAGTAGCATTTGGTAACTGCTAAGAGGTTACAAAAACATTATCGGTAAAAAAAGTTTTTTAGTTCTGATCCAGTTGGATAAGATTTTATCATAACCTCTTCTGGGTTTCAGGCTCTGCTGTTTGAAAAAGAAGGGAATATATTGCGTTTTAAAAAATCAGTGTATTGTGACTTAAACTGTTGTTATCCTTCCACAAAATGCATCAGAGCTATTAGTGCTTTGTACCTTTAGATGTTTTTACTTTATTGTTTAAGAAAAATATACTGAATTTATAGAAAGCAAGTATTCTCCTAATTAACAAAGGTTAAAATTTTATCTCTACCAATTAAAATTACAATCGATTTTGATAAATAACCAGAAAAATGCCTTGTTTTTTTCACACCTAGTAATCCTCCCGTTTTTATTGTAATAACTTTTTTTTCCTAAGAGACTTTCTGTTAGACTCTTTATAAGAACAATGACATGTGCTTGCTTGAATCTGTTGGTCTGTAACACTTTCCAGCTCATGTAAAAATGGAAAACGAGAACCTGAACTAGTATCTACAACATTGCCAAAGTCCAGGGCAAAGCTGAAAGTTGATAAATAGACAATTTATTGATTTGGGTGTGTCTGTGTCTGTGTGTGGATACATATATATATGGTGTGTATTTGTATATATCACAAAGATGTATTTTAAATATGCTTTCTTTTAATTTAAGGGATGTCAGATAAATGAAAGCAGTTTAAAAATAGCCAAAATAAATGAGGTGTAAAGGTCCATAACATACTAAAAAAGGCAGAGTTTCAGGTATGTAAGGAAAGGAACATTATACTTACCCAGAAACTGAGATCTTGGCTATGGCTGGAGGTCAGTCACTTTATGGCAGAAATTATGGTTTTATTTGGGAGGATAAAAGACTGTTTTCAATTCAAATTGTGCATTTATTGGCATCTAAATCTGCATAAGTTTAGTTAAAGCACAAAAGAAATACCACATAATACCAAATTACTGCAAAAATTATAATAAATACATCAAAATTTTCCTTTGACTAGAAATCTTATACCTGAAAAATTGGTTTTAAAAATGTCCATTTTAGAGGATTTTATTTATCTGTACGTATATACATATATCCCTGTATGTATACATACCTACATTAACATTTCATCACCCTGTAACATTTGTTTTCTATTCTATTCTTTTTTTTTTTTTTTTTTTTTTTTGTGACGGAGACTTGCTCTGTCACCAGGCTGGGGTGTAGTGGCACAGTCTCAGCTCACTGCAATCTCCACCTCCCAGGTTCCAGTGATTCCCTGCCTCAGCCTCCTGAGTAGCTGGGACTACAGGTGTGCACTACCACAGCCGGCTAATTTTTTCCATTTTAGTAGAGATGTGGTTTCACCTTGTTGGAGAGGATGGTCTTGATCTCCTGACCTTGTGATCCACCTGCCCAGGCCTCCCAAAGTGCTAGGATTCCAGGCATGAGCCACCGTGCCTGGCTGTTTTCTATTCTTTTAGGTGACCTCAGTGAAGAAACATTTCATTTAGTCTAAACCTTGCATTCGGGGTCTTAGAACAGATTTTTTGTGCAAGAATTGTTATTAGTTAAAATGGAAGGTGTTTAACAAAGTCAAATTTTCTAAGTTTTTAAATATGCATTTTAACATGCATTATTTTTGGCATTTAATATACAAGTTTTGTTTCAGATATACAGCAGCTGTTACAGATAAATGCCAGCAATATTCAAACTTTTTAACAAGATTTTGTTTTACATTTCCTAACTTCCATAAAAGTCTAACTATATGAAAAAGATATTTAAGGAGAAAGTACTTGTTTTCTGTAGTAAAACAATTATGTTGGTGCCATGTATGCCAAGTTGGATAAAATAATACAAAGAAATAGCTGAAGGAACTCTGACATTAATTACTAGAAAGCAAACTAAAATGCAAAGTGAATAGTTAACTTAGAAGATTTGATTTTTTGAGACAGGGTCTCACTCTGTCCTCCAGGCTGGAGTGCAGAGGCAGGCGCTATCACAGCTCACTGCAGCCTCGACCTCCCTGGGCTCAGGTGATCCTCCTACCTCAGCTTCTGAAGTAGCTGGAATTCCAGCACCACCATGCCTGGCTAATTTTTGTATTTTTAGTGGAGACGGGGTTTCGCCATGTTGCCCAGGCTGGTCTTGAACTCCTGTGCTCAAGAGATCCACCCACCTCGGCCTCCCAGAAGTGTTAGGATTACAGACATGAGCTACCACGCCTGGCCTGAAGATTTTTAAATGTAAGAATATTTTAAGAAGCTAAGGGGGAAATTGTTATTTTAAAATCCTGATCCCCTTACCTTTACCCCTTACCATTCCCCTTACCTTTCCAATTCACTTTTCTTTGTCTATTTATTAATAGAACCAGAATTGTGCTAAGAAACCGTAGAGATAATCTAGCTAGTTTCTCACTGCCTCACCACATTCATCAAGAAACTGAGGCTCAGAGGGTGGTGTGATCAAGGTCATATAACTAAAGCAGAGCCAGAATCAAACCCAGTCTCCATGGGTTTGGGGAGGCAGTGGGTTGTTAAATCTGTTTTTTGTTTCTTTACAGTTCTGGTCTAGTAGTTAGTGAATACAGCACATTAAGAAAAGTATTAAATCCAGAAAAAATGTAGAGTAATCGAGATGGGGAAGTGTTGGAAATGTTAAGAATATATACATATGTAAGGATAAATACATTATTCTTTATTCTAATTTATGCCTTACTATTTTCTGCCACATAACAGTCGTATGCTGCCATTTTATAGTTGATTACATTTCTGGGGATTTATTTAAATGTAAAATAAACCCAATGAAAAGGCTGTGATCAGTGTTTCTAGTTATTTTAAAGTGATTTTTTGAGTCAGCCAGCTTTTAGTCACCAGTGTGGCAAGCTAATTATATTGCACAATAGAGTATTGCAAAGTAAAGATTAAATAAATTTGATTAATAATTTTTAATGTAGAAAGAAACTGAATCTTACCTATGCTTAGAGCAAATGCAAGCAATATTTCCTTATGTGATTGAAAAAGGTTTTATAGTGTTAAACTTATGATTCCATAATGGAACAGTGACCATGATGTCATTTAAAGTGTGTATATACCGTATAAAATGTCTTAAATGCTGTAGTCTCAGCTATATAAGTTCAGTATTTCCAACCTGTATTTTCAAATTCTACCTAGAAGCTTTAAACTAATTATAATTATTTATTAGACACTGGAATACTAAGAATAACTTCTTTCAGATTTTGTTTGTACAATTTTTGTGAATATTTTAATGAAGTGGAGTATTTTTCCCACCTCACTTTTGTGAGGTTTGTATGGGTCCATTTTTGAGTACTTCAGTTGTTGACAATCAGTTGTCTCATTTAAATCTCTGCATGTTCATTTGTAAATAAAAAATTTAGTATCCGTCTTTAGGGGTAGTACCCTATCACAAACACTGGCAAGGAATGGCCCTCCATTTCTGACCTTGGATTACAAAGTATGTTTTGGGTTTTTCTTTTTTAATCAGTATTTCAGTTACATATTTGTTTTCAGCTTTAAAAAGTTTAACAGGTCATGCCAGTGATCAGAAAATCTGTAAGCATTTTAGATCAATTTTTCTACACTACAGCTATGTTAAACCGTCTGAACATGAGATTTTTTTTATCTTTCCATTTGAATTACTGTCATTTCACCACTAAGTTGGTTGAGACACTTATTTGTAATACTTTAATTTTTTTAAAGTGCTTTTTAGAAACAAGTTGTTTGAAAACCAATTAGAAATTGGAATTTTTGCCAGATTGTAAGAAAATGGAATGCAGTGTAAAAATGTTAACAATGCTAATAAAATTATGAGTCATCAGATTGGTACAGTTTTCCATGCCAAGGTGGTCATATTGATAATGTAAGACAAATTTTAGTATTACTTGCATTGTGTGTACCTAATAGGTATATCATACTGGTACTGAGCATATATAGAAAATACTATTCATAGAGGAGTCATCACCACCCAACCTCCTTGTCCATGAAGGCATATTTCTTCTAAACCTGACTGCACAAGTACAACATCTTGGTAACTTCAGGCTTTTCAGTATTTTTGGAATCTTAGCCATAGTCCTATGAGAAATGTACATAACAGCAAACAATTCAGGATAAAAGTTAGCAGAAAGCTGGGAAGGATGCGAAATAACTGGCAGCATAGTACAGAAATGTAGGGTATATGTTTCTGTAGGATTTTCAGAAATTGTGTTAATCATGTTTACAAATTAAGGCATATTCAGATGTCTGCCATTAATATTGATTTTGTTAAAGAATAGAATTAGGTATAGCTTAAAGTATAAATGAGTCTCTTTACATGTGTTTCTGGAAGTAGGTCTAATAAAGAAATCCTTTTATTTTCAAAGAAATGAACTTAATTGGACAGTTCCTCCCCAATTACAGAATTGATATCAATATGTTTTGCTGTATTTAGAGTATAAACAGCTCAATGTTAATTATATCAAAGAAAGTTCTTTACATCTTCATTGATTACAAAGTTTACCAAAGAAAATGTATCTACCAAATATAATTTCTAAAGTACTTGTAAGGAGTGAAGCCTCTTTAACATATAGAGTATACTGAAAATATTCTCTGACCTGGATAGGTTTACAGTAGCTACAAGATTACAATTTAGGTTTTCTTATGTCAATAAATGTCAATATTTTATACTTCCAGCAAAAGTACCCATTAAAGACTAAGTCTAAATATTGTTCCTCATAGCACATTTTCTTGTCTCCTTAAATTAAGGATTCTATTCACCAGGACTGAAAAACAAGGGGGACATTCCTAAAATTGGTGTATTGTATAATATAATGGGTTAAGTAAAATTTAGGAGGAAATTGTAGAAATGTACCTATTTTTAAAGGGCAGTGGCAATTATTATTATATTGGTTAAACTGGTACAGTTTGTTTATGATTTATGTCCATGATCATTGAGTGTTTTTTTCTTTGCAGAAAAACAAGATTGGGTTAAGAAAAGTGAAAATACTCATTTTAATAAATATATAGGCCAATAAGAACTAGTTTATTTCAACTGTTAATTTTTTTGGAAATCATGAAATGTATTTGCATATTGATGTTTCCAAACAAGTTTTATATATTGTTTTTTATAGCAGGGAGTAGTTAAAAAGTAATGAATATATTGATTAGCTGTCTTGGAAAGAGAGGATTGGCTTTCTAACAATCACTGATACTAGTTTGAGTTTTGGTGGTGGGGGGGTTGTTTTTAAGTGTTATCATCCATACTGAATTGAGAGATGTGCTCCATTGGGTGTTTAAAAATATTTGGAATAAGTTCATCTACCTGACATTGAATCTTTTTTATTCTTACTCTAAAAATTACTCTGGCTTTATATTCAGTTTAAGTGGTTAAGTGAAACAGTTTTTAGGGTGCAAAAATTGCTTTCCCACTATTTTTCTCATGATAATTTGGGTCTCCTGAGCTATAATTTCTGAAGGATTTTTTACTACTTTGGCATTATGTAATCTGATCTCTGTCACAATGGACAACTGAATAAGAAATATCTCACTTTCATGTTTTTGCTTCATAAAAGGGTATGGAATGTACACATCAGCTTTTTTTTTTTTTAACCAGCATCAACCTATAACTTGGTATAAACTTCCCAAGTATTCAGAGAATATTGCTGGTGAAAATTTAAATAGGATAGGCATATAGAAATTATAATGTGTATTGAGTGATGTCCTTTCAACCTAGGACTAGTGAAAACCTTCATTTTTTTAGAGCTGAAGAAAAAAACGCACATTTAAGATCATATTTATTGGTGCATGTAAGCCATTATCCTGTCTTACTGAACCAATTAATGCTGTTGATTGTTGAAATGTGAAATGTAGTCACTGTTGACCTTGTAAATATCTGCCAGAGATGAAAAAATATTTTAAGTTATTGTAAATAAAGATGATGTATAAAATTCAGTATTAGTCTGCAATGCAGAAACATATCTTAGATGTTAAAATACTGTGTTTGAAAGATGTGTAATTTACCCTTAGATGTATCTAGTTACATTGAGTGTAAATTTTTTTGTACAGTATAAAAATACAGCTCTATTTGGCTTTTAACTGGATTTCCCTGAGTTGATTTTATCTAACCTAAATTTTATACCTTAAAAGGGTCTTTTCATATTTTTTCAAAGCACACCATTTTATTTATGTATATCTGAACCTTTATATCATACCCTATTACATTAAGGCAGAATATAAAATTATCTATAACACTACAAAATAAGAAACAACACAGAGGCAGATGTGAAATTAATACATAAAACATGTGCCATATATTTCTGTAGTTAATTGTAGGGGTACAGATTTAGCAATGAACGTTAAAGTAGCCAAATGTAAAGACAGAAGTAAGATTAATTACATGATTTTCAGACATCCTTAAGATGAAACAAGTTTCTCAGGTGAAGCACAACTATATCTAATGTTAAAATCTTTTCCTTTCTGGGTCCTTGTAAAGAGGAACCAACATTATTACAGTACAACTTAAAATACAATTTATGAAGGTGCCTGTTTCCTCACACCCTTACCAGCAGTTTGTTCTCTCATCATTACACTTTTTGCCTTTCCTACATTGTCTTTCCTAAAGATACTTTAGCCTTTTCTTGGAACATGGGTTTAAATCAAAGGTTGAACCCTACACCCTTTTCCCTTTCCCTTTCTTTACATCCATTTCCTGGAAAAATCTCTTTTGTACCTTTTTTCTTTATGACTGTTATTCCTTTCTTAGTTAAAGTTTTATTCTCCATTTTATTTCAGATTCAAGCAAACAAAGTATATTATCTTTTTTGATATTTATTATCCCTTAATCCAAAGACTGGCAGATTCAGAACCAAGACTGTGTTTTTCTCTCAGACTCTGGATCTCCATTAGTTAGGAAGGAAGAGATTCACAAGTTGACAGTTCCAACTTTTTCCTTTTATTAGAAATTTAATGGTTGTTCATTTACAAAATACAGAAAAAGGGCTGGGCGTGATGGCTCACCCCTGTAATCCCAGCACTTTGAGAGGCCGTGGTGAATGATCACCTGACATCAGGAGTTCCAAACTAGCCTAGCTAACATGGTAAAACCCCATCTCTACTAAAAGTACAAAAATTAGCCAGGCATGGTGGCGCATGCCTGTAATCCCAGCTACTCAGGAGGCTGAGGCAGGAGAATAGTTTGAACCTGGGAGGTGGAGGTTTCAGTGAGCCAAGATCATATCATTGCACTCCAGCCTGGGCAACAAGAGCAAAACTCCGTCTCAAAAAAGAAAAGAAAATATAGAAAAAGTACAATGAGAAAAGAAGTACTTTCCTTTAAGGTATTGTAATATAATTGTGATATTAATAGAATAGTGGAAGCACTATACACACACACACACACACACACACAATCCCCCCACACACAACTCTTGTCCAGGTAAGTCACAGTATTTTATGGTACACTCTTCCCATGTGAATTAAACAATAACATTTATTGGGTGCTCAGGATGTGCCAGGCACTATTCTAAACACTTTTAAGAAAACACAGTAATTTATTTAATACTCAATACAACAGCATTAGATAAGACTATTCTTCCTTTATGAGAAAAGTAAAGTACGGCTGTCCAGTCACAGAGCTATTAAGTGGAAGGGCTAATATTGAATACATACACTCAGGCGAATGCACTTAATGAACTTAAACATCATAACATACTGCTTTATTGCACTGATTGTTCTCAACTATTAGTACCCTTGCCAAACACCTACCCTATCCTCAGAAGGCCAATCCCCCTGTGAGGGATGGGAACAAAGGGAGAGGTTGGATCTCAACAGAGCTAGATTGCTAATAGGCAAACTAAATCCATGAAAGAAGCCCTAACATCCTAGGTATCTATAGTTATAAATTAACTTCCCTTCTATGTATATACAATGGTTCTTATCTATCATCCTGAGGGAAAATGAGAAAAATAGTCTTTCTGTGGTTCATGTATGGAAGATCAGTTGAGAAAAGCTATTTTACAGCATGATAAAGCGAAGAGACTGCCAAAATATACAAATTTAAAATATATGACAGTTCTTTCTATGACCCCTCCCCTCCACACACGCACAAGAACTGCTGGGTAGCATGGGAGGAAGGCAGAACTTTGTTGGGCTGATGATTATGTATGATTTAATGTTATTTTTTAAGTACATGAGAGAGGGCAGAAATACAGTCTTTTGTGTTTAGGATATATAAAGGTCTTAATCTGGCCCTGGGTGGTAATCCAAATGGGATAGATATAATCTGTGATGATAAACCGGGCACAGTGGGTCCCGCATGTAATCCCAGCCCTTTGGGAGGCTGAGGCAGGTGGATCATCTGAAGTCAGGAGTTCAAGACCAGCCTGACCAACATGGTGAAACCCTGTCTTTACTAAAATTAGCTTGGTGTGGTAGCACACACCTGTGATCCTAGCTATGCTTAGGCATGAGAATCACTTAAACCCATGAGGCAGAGGTTGCAGTGGGCCAAGATCACGCACCATTGTACTCCAGGCTGGGTGACAGTGAGACCCTCTCAAAAAAAAAAAAAAGAACCAAAACAATGTTAATAGTCTCAAAACAAAACACTCTTATCATATTCAATAAGCTTTTTATTTTATTCTCTCCAATATTCAGTAGGGAATTCCCCAAATGTAGGCTTTCTTCACTTCCTTCAAGTAAAACCACGGAATTTTAAGAAATCTATATTTCATTTATTCACAAATGTTATTCTGATTTTATACACACTAAAACTCAGAATTGTTTTCAGAAGCTAGTTACCCATTATTGTAATTACTCTGTGGGTGGTTTTCTTTTTTTGGCGGGGGCGGGGACAGAGTTTCGCTCTTGTTGCCCAGACTGGAGTGCAATGGCGCGATCTTGGCTCACTGCAACCTTTGCTTCCAGGGTTCAAGCGATTCTCCTGCCTCAGCCTCCCAAGTAGCTGGGATTACAGGTGCCAGCCACCATGCCCAGCTAATTTTTATATTTTTTAGTAGAGATGGAGTTTCACCATGTTGACAAGGCTGGTCTCGAACTCCTGACCTCAGGTAATCCACCCACCTCGACCTCCCAAAGTGCTGGGATTACAGACGTAAGCCACCGCACCTGGCCCTCTGTGTACATTTAAGGCTTACTATGTCAAATCTTTCACTACTTATTTGATGAAGTCGTTTCACGTGTCCTTTACAAAGGACTCACTTCTTCACTCTCCCTTGTACAAAACAAAATCTTGGAGGCTTTGTCTACCATATTCTTTTCTTTTTTTGAGACAGAGTTTTGCTCTTGCTGCCCAGGCTAAAGTGCAATGGCTCGATCTCCACTCACCACAACCTCTGCCTCCTGGGTTCACGAGATTCTCCTGCCTCAGCCTCCCAAGTAGCTGTGATTACAGGCATGCACCACCATGCCCAGCTAATTTTTTGGTATTTTTAGTAGAGACGGGGTTTCTCCCTGTTAGTCAGGCTGGTCTTAAACTCCTGACCTCAGGTGATCTGCCTGCCTCAGCCAACCAAAGTGCTGGGATTACAGGCATGAGCCACCATGCCCAGCCCATATTCTCTTTTATTACTACATACTCAGGTATTATCATTTTTCCTGAGCATGACTGAAATCAACTTGACATATAAAAAATTTCAGGGTAGAAATTATTTGCTGAGGCATCTGCCAGTGACATTCTAGATCTATTGAACCCTTATCAAGTGTGTGTTTAACATACAGCATCTACGCCACTGCATATCTCACAAAAATTTTTATTGCCAATTTTTAATTCTCTCTAGCTCACTGGTTTTCAGCTCTAGTGTCACATAAAAATCACGAGCAGTGACTCATGCCTTTAATCCCAACACTTTGGGAGGCTGAGGTGGGCGGATTACCTGAGGTCAGGAGTTTGAGACCAGCCTGGTCAACATGGTGAAACTCTGTCTCTATTAAAAATGCAAAAGAATTACCCTGGCATGGTGGTGGGCCCCTATAGTCCCAGCTACCCTGGAGGCTGAGACAAGAGAATCACTTAAACCCAGGAGGTGGAGGCAGCGGTGAACTGAGATCACGCCACTGCATTCCAGCCTGGGCAGCAGAGTGAAACTGTCTCAAAAAAAAAAATCATCTGGGTAATTCTTTAAAACAATTCTGATGATCAGGTCCCATGCAGACTCCCTAGGAGTAGGATTTGGCACCATATAGTTTTCAAAGTTCCCCAGCTAATTATCATGTGTGATTAGGATTGCACATTCTCTTTAATGCTGGCCAGGCACACTAAGTAAGAGATCACGCCATTGCACTCCAGCCTGGGCAACAAGGGCAAAACTCCGTCTCAAAAAAAAAAAAAAAAAAAATTAATGCTATACCAGTCTTTGGCAGAGGTAAGCTTTCTCTCTTCTGTCCAGAACCTGACTCATTAATAAATTTTTCCTAGAGAAATACCTAGTACAGTAACTGACGATATAAGAACCAGGTATCATTAACCCATTCCATAAATAAACCTCCACCTGAAAGAATAGACCCATCTATATCAATGCTTTAATCTGTCTTCTCTACTCCCTAACTCAGGCCACTGAACACTGTAGGTGTTAATACACCTTCATCGGCCCCTTTCACTTCTTGGCCTGTCTGCTTTCTCATTCCCTCTAGTTTCTGTTCCAAAGCTTCAGCACGTCAAGTACCACTTTCTCAGCAGCCTCAACGCTTTTTGTATGAAATGGAGGCCATCATGCTAGAATCAATGTTCTTAATTTCCTGTTCCCCGCTACCATGCCAAAGTTCTGAACTATATCTGCAACAATCCTTGTCCCCTTGCTACCTGTCTCAGACGAGAGGTATCTCACATCTTTTCTTATTTTCCTCACACACTGTGCAGTTCTTATTTTCGCCATTTGGCTTAAATCTATATGCTGATGACCCTCATTTGTATCTCTAGGCCTAGACCTCTTGAATGTTAGACTTTTAAATCCAACTGGCTACCAGATAGCTGGATATCCCTCAGGCACTTCAAAGTTAAGATGCCTCAAACTAGACTTATCTACCTTTTTCCTCTATCAGTAATCCTTCTCTGACATCACACCCATGAACTAATACCC